ACCGAAACGTCAGCCTTCCTGCTCTTCTGATGCTGCTTGGCCTGCTGTGTTCATCCAGCTCTACACCTTGTCATCTTAGTTTATTTCTCTCTTTCTGCTCCCTCATCTTGAGGCCACCCAATTTATGCCAGCTTGGATCAATTACCCAATGCTTTTTGTAGGAAGAATGAAGAAAGTCTATAAAAATAAGGAATATAATCTTTAGAATTGTACCCCGCCCCCATTCAATATCGTCTTTCAGTGATGAGAAAACATTTTCAGGGCTACAATGGGAAGAGATGAGTGCAATACCTTTTACAACTGGTCGTCTCCTATGCTACAACCATTCAGAGTCTATATGACACGATAAGTGAACTTGGATCCTCTATCTTTGACTCTCAGTACCCCCTGATAGTATAAATAATAAATAGACTTCAATATATTAAGTATAAGCTCAAAAGTTGCAACACAAAGCAGTGACGTGAAGTAAACAGTGAGGATAATAGCAGACTTCAGGGGGACGAAGGCAGAGACATGCTAAATTTTCAAAAAAATGATTTACAAGGATGTTGCCAAGTTCAGAAGCATGCAAAGTTTAAGGAAACTTGGTCCTTTGCAAATGATTAACCACAGCTGATCTAGTATAAATACGTTTTGCATTGCTATTCATTCTACCAGAATATTATCTGCTTGCAGAAATCTCTTCTCTTCCACGATCACGTAATACGCACATAATGTTTGTGAGCCTGCAGCTGGATCCCGCAACATCTATCTGGCTTGTAGCTATTGTAATTGAGAGGTGATATTGCTGAACATATAAGATCCTGAGGGGACTTGAGGGTGGGTGCTGAGAGCATATTTCCCTTGTGGAAAAGCCTAGAATTGGTTCATGAGTATGAAATGGTGAAGCAGGTCTTAATATTGTAAAGGCATAATATCATCATAGAATCCCTACAGTGTGGAAACAGGCCCTTCGACCCAACAAGTCCACTCTGACCCTCAAAGCATCCCACCCAGACCCATCCGCGTAATCTACACTTCCCTGAACACTACAGGGCAATTTAGCATGGCCAATCCACCTAGCCTGCACATCTTTGGACTGTGGGATGGAACCAGAGCACCCGGAGGAAACCCACGCAGACATGGGGAGAATGTGCAAACTCCACACAGACAGTAGCCCAAGGGTGGAATCGAACCCGGGTCTCTGGTGCTGTGAGGCAGCAGTGCTAACCACTGAGCCACACTGCCACCCTGTATGTGGAGGGTTTGGAGAGGGTGCAGAAGAGGTTTACTAGGATGCTACCTGGATTAGAGAGAATGAGCTATTAAGAGAAGATGGAACAACTTGGGTTGTTTTATCTGGAGCGGTGGGGGCTGAGGGGAGACTGGATAGAAGTCTGTATAACTATGAGATGCACAGATAGCGTTGACTGCCAGAATCTTTTCTCCAGTGTTGAAATGTTTAATACTAGGGGGGAAAGCATGTAATGTGAGGAGCAAAGTCTCTTGTACACAGAGTGGTAGGTATCTTGAATGCGCTGCCAGGGATAGTGTTGGAGGTAGATATGAATATGCAAGGAATGGAGGAATATGGACCAAGGACAGGCAGAAGAGATTAGTTCAATTTGGCACATGTTCGGCTCAATATGGTGGGCTAAAGGGCCTGTGCCTGTTCCTGTTCTGTATTGTTCTATTTTCTAGGTCCAAAGGGCTGAATGGCCTACTGCACCTAATTTGTATGTTTTGAGCATTTTAATATCTGCATTATTTATGAAGACAGAAAATGTTTGTGATCCCTGTGTAATCCCAGTGAGTTATGGCTGACTTCCATGAAAGTGTGCAAAGTTAATAGTGATTTATTGTACAGGGCAGTGCTAACAATTTAAAGTTGTGTCAAAGTGACCTACTAGGAGAACGTTGAGCAAAACCTGATCCATGTAGACAGTATCTGCTTCATTACATTGAAAGTTAAGGTCAGAACTGGTAGGGCAATTTTTGCAAGTTAATAAGACATGGCTTTCATTTCCAGAAGGTATTTTGAGAGCCTCTGATGACTGCTTTATTCAGCCAACAAACAACTCTTCTCCTCTTCACGCATCTTGTCCACAACTGGTGAATGGACTGAGCATGCAGTCTTCTGGATCTGAGTTGTCAGCCTTTTAGAAATCAGAGCTTCACGAACATCTGTCCAGCCTGTAGGAACACCCCCAGACTCTAATCCTTTATTCAATAACGGGATGAGGGCGTCGCTGGCTAGGCAGTATTTATTGCCCATCCCTAATTGCCCAGAGAGCAGTTAAGAGTCATCCACATTGTTGTGGGTCTGGAGTCACATATAGGCCAGACCAGGTAAAGATGGCAGTTTCCTTTCCTAAATGACATTAATGATCCAGAAGGGTTTTTTCTGACAATTGACAATATAGTTCATGATCATCATTAGACTCTTAATTTCAGATATTCAATTGAATTCAAATTCCACCATCTGCCATGGCGAGATTCGAACCCGGGTCCCCAGAACGTTATCTGGGTCTCTGGATTTACAGTCCGTCGAAAATACCGCTAAGCCGCTGCCTCCCTTCCCTCCCTCTAGTAAACTGGTGCAGAAATGGTCAGAAATCACACAACACCACGTTATAGTCCAACAGGTTTATTTGAAACCACAGGCTCGTTGGACTATAACCTGGTGTCATGCGTTTCTGACCTTGTCCACTCCAGTCCCACACTGGCACCTTCACATCATGGTGTAGAAGTGGGCAAGCGTCATGTAATCTCTTAACTGCAGCAAAGTGTTGTTTACTCCAATTAACACACTGTGTTTCCTTTTCCCAGGTAACTTTCTGACCACTATTAAGATGGCTGCTACAATAGTGCATGATACCTCAGAGGCCGTGGAACTATTTGCCCCACAGGGCTTATTTCTGAAGCCAATCGCTAAGCTGACTCTTAGCGTATCACTCCCCCAGCTGAAGCAACCAGGTAAGTCCATATCAAACTGGGAGGTGATGGAGAGACTCAAGTACATGGTTCACCCTGAGCAGTTTGCTACACTGCGTGTGTCCAAGAGCACAATGGATTTTGTTCGCTTTGAAGGGGAAGTTGAAAACAAGAACATGGTGAAAACCTTCCTGTCCAAACTGGACAGTAAGACAATTAAGCTCAGTGGCTTCACAGACACCTTAAAAGTACGAGCAGCTGAAGTGAAAATAGATTTCCCGACCCGTCACGACTGGGATTCATTCTTTCGGGATGCCAAAGACATAAATGAGACTTTACCAGGTGAGAGGCCAGATACCATTCATTTGGAGGGACTGCCATGCAAGTGGTTTGCCCTGAAAAATTCCAGTTCAGAGAAGCCAAGTGATTTCATCCTGCGCAAGGTATTTGAAACATTCGGGGAGATTCGAAACGTAGACATTCCAATGCTCGACCCTTACAGAGAAGAGATGACTGGGAAGAACTTCCACACCTTCAGCTTTGGGGGTCACTTGAACTTTGAAGCATACGTGCAGTACCAGGAGTATATCGGATTTGTGAAGGCAATGGATGCCCTGAGGGGAATGAAACTGCTGTACAAAGGGGACGATGCAAAGGCAGTGGCCTGCAGCATAAAGGTGAGTGCTTTATACATTCTGTGCTGTTTTGGGCACTCTGGTAGAACAAATGCAAGAGCACTGGATAAAGTATGTGGTAGATAATGCATGGGATGTAGCTAATAAGGGACCCTTTTCTAAAACAACTTGTATTTTTTGTTGTGCCTTTTGCATGATGATGACTGAAAACTTAGCTTGAGGAAAGCGAAGTAGAGAGGTGGAGATGTGTAGGAAGTGAATTCCAGACCTTAATGTTGTTGGCAGAGAACCATGAATGGTGTAGCAATTAAAATTACAAGTCCCGAATTAGCTGTGTGTGTAGAGATGTGGTCTTGGAGGCGATCAGATGTAAGGGGAGACAAAGCCATGAAGCATGAGAATATTAAAATTAAATATTTTATTATGCATTCACGGGATGAGGGCGTCGCTGCTCATCCCTAATTGCCCAGAGAGCAGTTAAGAGTCAGTCACATTGTTGAGAGTCTGGAATCACGTGTAGGCCAGACCAGGTAAGGATGGCATTTTCCTTCCATAAAGCACCCTAGTGAACCAGATGGGTTTTTCCAGTAATTAGCAATGGACTCATGGTCATCATTAAACTCTTAATTCCAGATTTTCATCTGCTGTGGTGGGATTCGAACCTAGGTCCCCAACACGTTATCTGGGTTTCCAGATTAATGGATCAGCAATAATACCACTAGGCCACTGCCTCCCAATATTGTTGCTTGACCAAGAGCAAATGTATATCTTTGAGCACAGGAGTGGTAGGTGTATAGTACTTGGTGTGAGTCAGGACAAGGCAGTAAAGTTGTTTTTGAATGAATTCAGGCAAACGTGGCAAGATTTGAATCACCATCGGGAGAGCTTTTGAATAAGGTGTGAATAAGTGTATTCAGCAACAAATGGGATGAAGCAAGGGAAAATGGGGTAATATTGCAGAGGTGGAAATTGGCTCCTTGGTTAGTGTCAGATCAAAAGTCTCCGCCAGTTATGATATCAAGTTTGCGAACAAACTGGTTTAGTCTCAGAATGCAACCTTGGGAGATGGATGAGTCAGTAACCAGGGATTGACCAAAATTTAGTCTTCCCAATATTTACTTTTGAGGAGATGCCTGCTATCCAGTGCTGGTCATCAAATAAGCAATCTGATAATTTATTAGCAGTGGAAGAATTTCAATCCGAAACTAGGGGCTTGTATCTAAACAAACAAAGCTATGAAAGTGTGAGTGGTAAGTTGGCTAGTATAACTTCATTAAAAGGCATGACAGTGGATAACAAATGCATGCATTGTAAAAGTTATACATTACATACTGGTGCACATGGCTAAAAATGCAATTTGAGGATAGTATAGATCCAAAGAGGAGTCATATAAAATTGTTAGAAAAGGTGGCAAGCTTAGTAATTACATAACATAAGAACTAGGAGCAGGAGTAGGTAATTCAATTCCTCAAGCCTGCTCCACCATTTGATACAATCATAATTGATCTCCTGTCAGCCTCAACTCCACTTTCCTGCCTGATCTCTCTAACCCTGCAGCCCAGCACAACTTAAGAAATCTGCCTATCTCCTCCTTAAATTTACTCAATGTCCCAGCATCCACCACACACTGGCATAGCGAATTCCACAGGTTCATGATTCTTTGAGAAAGGTAATTTCTCAATCTCTTTGGACAAATTCGTCATCTCGGGAATCAGTCTAGTGAAACTCCTCTGAACTGTTTCCAATGCAATTACATCCCCCCTCGAATAAGGAGCTTAAATTGTATGCAGTACTCCAGCTGTGGTCTAATTAATGCCTTTTACAGTTGCAGCAACACTTCCCTACTTTTATACGTTGTTCCTTTAGCAATGAATGTCAAAATTCCATTTGCCTTCCTTTATTACCTGCTGTACCTGCATACTAGTTTTCTGCAGTTCATGTATGAGGACATTCAGGGTATAGGATATGCTGTTTCAGACTGAGATGAGAAGAAATTTCTTCACTCAGGGTGCTGCTTCTGTGGAACTGTGTACTACATAAGGCTGTTGAGTTACTGTTACTGAATATGCTTGATAGATAAATAGATTCCTACAACTGACAAGGTATGTGGAGAGAGCAGGAATATGATGTTGAAATAAAGGGTCAGCCACGAAGGGTAGAGCAATGATCTGATGGACCAAACGCCTGCTCCTGATCGGAGTTCCATGTTTCTCGTAGAGAAAGGTGGTAATGAAATAGAGCTGAGTATAATCAGTGAACGTGCGAAAATTAATACTGTATTTTCAGATTATGTCACTGTGGGGCAGCATGTAGATGGGAAATGGAATGGCAGCAAGGATAAATTGTCATTTGTCACCACACCTCAGACAAGAGGACAAGTTGAGAAGGAGATTCCTTCATGGTAACCTCAACTGGTGAGAATTAAACCTATGCTGTCAGCATTACTTTGCATCACAAACCAGCCATCTAATCAACTAAGCTAACTGACCCCCTGTACCAAAGACAGACAGAAGTAGAAGTACAGGCAAGTACATTGCAATTGAGAGTCTGGTTATAGTCATTTTCTAACCAACCTGTTTAGAGCTGTTGTTACACAGTTCCTTTGGAGCAGGTTGGTCTTGAACCCAGACCTCCAGGCTCAGAGCTAGGGAAGCTACCACTGCACCACAAGAACCTCTAAAAATGTGGCTATGATTATGTAGATACGAATGGAATTGGGAGCAAACTGTCCCGCCCAACTGGATGACAGTAGAGAGATCTTCAAGAGGAATGGTATGGATAGCAGTGTCAAAGGCTGCAGATAAGAAAAAGCCGGGATGTGTAAGGATGTCACTTGTAACTGATAAGAGCTGTTTAAATACGGTGACAGGAGCATAAATCTGATTAGAGGGATTCAAACATGGAGTTCCAGGAAAGAGGGAACAGATATGGAAGGTGATAACATGCTCAGGAATTTTAGAGAGGGAAGGAAAATTGCAAATAGCGTGGCAGTTTAGATTGGTGGTTTTGAGTTTTTCTGGGGCAGGGTGATGGTGCAGTGATTATAGCATTTCCTAAAGAGAGGCAACCATTAACAATATCGACTAACATTGATACAAGGCAGAGACGTAGGGTGGCCATCAGTTTAGTCTAATGAGGACGGGGGGAGAAGAAGATGGATATTATGAACACCGTGAGGTCAGAGTGGCAGGAGGGGAGATACGGAGAAGCAAGAGAAAATAGCGTTGTAAACTGAAGGAGCAAACCTTACGGGAACATTCAAAAGTAGATATAGAATTATGTAATTGTTCTAATCAAGACTACAGCTACTGTCATTGCTAACCATAATTTGAGGTCTGTTCATGCAACATGTAGCATGTGAAATGGCTGGAATGCCAAGCGGGCTGGGCAAGCTGTTTTCTTGTTTTCTTGTAGGCTGTCTGGGTCATGGTAACATTTTTTTTCAAACTGTTGGAGGGTACCATGCACAAGCAAGAGTGGGAAGGAAAGGTTGACCTAATTTCAAACCAAGGACCACCTTGAGCTGAAAAGGTTTCTCAGCATCGTTTTGGAATGGTCACTTCTGATGTACCATGGGGAAGCCCTCTTTGCTATAATAATATTTTGAGTTCTCAGTGAACTTTGTAAATGAGCTAACTTAATTTGGGAGATATGGCTATGTTTGATGTGGAGCAGGCACCAAACCCTTGAGTTGGTAATGCACACAGTTGGAGTCTAGCACATACTTGTTGGGAAGGGGATAGGTGTTTTTTAGCTGTTTGTATCAGATATCGTGATGAATAATGACCACTTGGCTGAGGTAATGCAATGCTGCCAGATAGTGTGGGTCTGTTCCTCAGGGGGGACCAGTGTCCCAAGTGAAGGGAAATAAAGAAGGGGATGTAAAGGAAGAATTCAAAAATACTTGTCTTTCAGGTAACCTTTGACACAACAAAGCACCTGAGTGATGCTTCCATCAGGAGGAGACAGATGGAGAGACAGAAGCTGCAGGAGCTGGAACTGCAGCGAGAAGAGCAAAAACGTCGGGAGAAAGAGGAAGAAGAGCGAAGAAAGGAGGAAGAAAGGTATATTGGATAAAATTAGTGTTTAAATAGCTTCTTCTTCATATAAGCAATGATCCTATATCAAAGGGACAAGAAGCCTAATCTAATAAATTTAGTACAGATCAACTAATACTTCTCCAGAGATTACCATCTGACTGAATTCAGCTGATGGCCACAGAGCTTCCCCGTTTCCTGACATTCTACTCCTGGTAAATTCACTATCACTTCCATCATTCCATCTGACTCTGCATAGACTGTATCCAACTTTACTGTTTGTATTTGGGAATCAGTGTGGTCTTTTTCCTTCAATATAAACCATTTTCAATGGTGTATCTCCCATTTCTTTCATGGGGAAATACAACACATCAGCTGAGACTTTCCCCTCCCTATAAGTGGCTGGAAGTAATGACTACTTAGGGCCTCAATCCGTCATTAGCACTGTGACCTTTGTTTCCGACAGGTGAGAAATGTGACAGCCTTCCCAGCTGCTATAATGGATGCTCTACCTGTGAGGTTGTTTAGAGTGTGTTGCTCAGTTTGCCCCAGTATTGAGGGTGTGTACTCAGGGGCATGGATGGGGGTGGAGGCAGGTGGTGACCACTGAAAACTAGACTCCTGACCTTCCTACTGACCCACCTCTAGCCATGAGTTCCCTTCCCGCACCCCCACGCCCACCCCCACCTTGCACTGTACACAAAATAAAACAAAATCATGTTTATTTGTGTTGCTCCTGGTCTTCAGTATTGCTGTGCAGCCAGCACTCTGAGCAATTGATGTAGCACTACTCCTTACAACAGCTGTGGGCCTCTGATTGCCAGCAGTTTCAGGCATTGTAGGACGTCACAGTCCTAGAAATTGATTTGAGAAGTCTGCCAAATCACCACTAAAGTGCATGATTGGCAGTTAACCTGGTGGGCTTTCTCATTGACGGGGGTGCAGTTTGCCTCAATCTTAAAGATACCTGCCCCCATACTTGGATGAAAAAGGTAAAATCCCAGCCGGTGAACTTAGGAAGTATGGAGGCAAAAGCTACTGCTCCTGTTTGTGAATGTCTTTCACCTGACGTTTTAACTACAGGTTACTCCACTGAATGAAGTCACGCTACTCAAAATTACTTCTAGACCTTTACAGCACAGAAGGAGGCTATTTGGCCCATACTATTTATGCTGGTTAACAAACATTTAACAACACTAATCCTATTTTCCATCTTTGGCCCCAAAGACCCCTGGAAGCTGTGGTGATGCAAATTAATAAACTTTGATAGCAACTTTCAGTCCCAGGATGTCATTTCAAAGAAGAGCAAGGGCTCTGCAGGTATCATGGGAACACCATTGCTTTCTAGCTCTTCCATTCTGATTTGACTATTCAGCACACGTGCTTTGATCAACTTGAATTTTTTGAGTTCTGAGGAAGGGTCACCAGATCTGAAACGTTAACTCTGACTTTTTCTTCACAGACCTGCTGAGCTTCCAGCAACTCCTGTTTTTGTTCTTGAATTTTCTACCCCTTATTATTCCAATTCTCCAGAATGTCGCACATTCAGTGGAACTGTAGAATATAATTTGTAAGGTGTCTATAGTCTTCCTCCTCAGTTCCATCAGGGTTGGGACACTGACTCCTCTCTAGAGGAACATTCCCACTTTTCACTGGCAGCTTTTTGTTATCTCAGTCAAGTGATCATTCTCCAAGTCCTGTGGCTTTGCTTTTCATGGCTTTACAAACTTAATGACATATTTTCCCTAAAAATATCACAGTCTGCTCTCAACCACTTCAAAACTCTCCACAACCTGGTAATTGCTGTCGGTAGTATGAGTGGTGAACCGTATTGTGTGTGTGTGATATTTGTTGGTTTGTTTTAATGTTAGCTTGGGCCCATTTTAAAGTAGACTTCTAAATTGTTTTATGAGCATTTAGGCACACCAATGAACATTTGCTTCATTGACTTTAACTTGAGTCATAAAAGTACTGCAGTGTTATTGAAGTATTTTAACTGCTTCCAGCATTGATCACAGTGTGCTGTGTTCAATAAATTTGGTGATTTGTAATAATGGGAATAACCCATTTAACAATAAAAGAAAATAACTTAAATTTGTCATTGACTAAGACATTTTTATCTTTTATTTTCATTCAAAGTGTGGCAGTCCATCTTCTCTCTGCATGGATACTAATATTTACCAACACATGAACCAGCGTATCATTCCTGAAATTACAGGTCCAGTAGGATTTGCTACTAATTGGATTCTTTCTCGGTTCTCCCCAGGAAGCAGAGAGAGCTGGAAGAGCAAGAGCGGGAGAAGAAGAGAGAAGAAAAGGTTAGAAAGAGGGAACAGAAGCAGAAGGAGCGTGAAGAGCGGCGAAATGTGCGCAAACTGCAACGGGAAGAGCAGAAAAGGCTACAGGAAAAAATTGCTCTGGAGGAACGAAAACTCCTTTTAGCGCAGAGGAACCTGCAGTCTATCCGCCTTATTGCAGAGCTGCTGAGCAGAGCCAAGGTGAGAGTGCCTGAATTCTGGCAGATCAGGTTAAGATGATGTGTCTATGTGGCTGACCATACTGTAATGATGATCAAAATGTCCTGTGTTTTGACATCATGAGCTGTGACTGCAGGGTTTTGTTTGTTATCTTGTATGTGTTGTCAGGGCCTTGAGATTAAACAACTTGTCACGCTTAAAATGCTTCCTATGTGGTGCTCAGAATATAGCAAAAGAAACATCGATCTAGTTTGATTCTGTAATTCTTAATACAATTGCTTAACTGATATAGTTTTGGGTATAGCCCACCTCTCTTTTGAAGAAAGTGTTTCAAATTGGAGAGGCTTTTGGTGCAGGCAATTTTGATAAATTATATCTCAGCTCTGCAGGAAAGGGCATGGTGTGATAGTCATACCACTAGACTAGTTATCCAGCGTTATCTGCCAATGTTCTGGAGGTGAGTACGAATCCCGCTATAACACAATGAAAGTTCAGTTCAATAAAAAGCAGACCTAATGGTAACTGCAGTTGTGATTTGTTGTAAAAACCCATCTGTTTCACAGATCCTTCAGGGAAGGAAATCTGCCATCCTTACCTTGTCTGACATACATATGACTCCACAGTCCCAGTAATGTGGTTGACTTCTAACAGCCATCTGTGCAAATGGGAATGGGCAATAAATGTTGGCCAAGTCAGCGACACCCACATACCTTGAAAAGAAACAGCATTTTGCCTGCTCCTGGAACTTCTGATGTGAAGTTGTGGTGTGAAAAGGGGCGATTACACTAATGATCCTAGCCTTTGGTAATACTGGATGAATCAGATTCCACAATAAAACTAGGCAAAACAGGTCATATATTTAATGTTTCAACTTGTTTAACATAGTGATTAGTCACTGTAACATATTTACATAGGGCTGTAGATTTTGCTTAACAACTTAGCATATGTTTATTGCAAAGAAAACAAGGAGAACAGAGCTGTTTCTATATTTATTTATTCTATAGTTAGATCTTAACAGCTATCAAAATAAAGTTTCATCCTATTTACCAACAACATATATTTCAAAGATGCATTCCTGGAGAAACATCACTCTGACCTCAATTTTTTAAATCTTGACTTAACTGAAGCATCCTAGTTTCTTTCCATTGGACCCTTTGAGACTATTTAGCACAATTTTTTTTTGTTTGATGACGTGAACCTTGCACAGTTCTGGGGGCCCAAACTTTCTCAACTTGAAGATTTCTATATCAGCCATCTTGGCTTGGAAACTCTGAACTGAATTTTGAACCTTATCTTCTCCTAAAAACTAAACTAATTATCTTAATCTGTTTACTCTGTCTATCAAAGACCCAACAATATGAATTTAGTCTATTAACAATACAGGGATTCTCCTGTAAATGCATGCTTCCTCATTTATTTAGGTCAGTGTTCCAAATTCACTTTCTGAATCTTTTTAAAAAGAAAAGCTTTCACAGAATTAACCCATATTTATCTGACTCTATAGTGAGTCTAATTCCAAAATTATAATGTATTATACATATTTATGGAATGCCATGCGCAACAAATATAGATTTTCAGAGGATTCTGCTTTGTTGGGATTGGAACCATACCAATATTTCAGGGAGTCCCTGATTTGTGAAAATCCGAATCACCGATGCAATCCATACAAAAGTGTATTAATATTAATTTTAAAGATCTGACATAGTTTTTCCTCGCGATTGCAAACAGCTGTCTTATATTGTCCTGCACTGTGTGCACCTTGTGTACAAATCAACTTCTGAACAGACTCCAGAACAGAACCCATTCGCAGCCCAGGGAAGGCCTGGACGTGATAATGTTGTTTAATTTTGATTTTGGAAGTGCAGCAGCATATGCTCATAAAACATTAAGGATGCTGGGTCAGGACATCAAGGTTGAATTAGGTCAGTGCTGCCTTGCCATAACTGAACCATTCTGAGGAAGTTTCTCATCCTTCAGAGGAAGTCAACACTTCTAAGAATGTGTGAATTCATCTAGATTTTTGTTTGTGAAACTTCCACAGGAAGTTTGCGCTTGTTGTCATACCAACATTGTCCTAAACCCCCAACAAAGGTCCTTGCCAAGAGCTGATCGTTCTGCAACCGAGTGTGAGTCAGTGCATGGTCCCTTGGATTCTTCACCATAAGCAGAGGATCAGTGAATTTTGTGTAGTTTTAAAGGAACAAAAGGATTTAAAATTACCAATAAATTTCGAGTGAGTCTGTTTTAGGACAGATAGTCCTTGGGCTATAAGTATGGAAAGTAGTGAGTTTGAGTTAAAACTACCAAGGGGGAGTTGCCATTGAAGCTGTCCTATCAGTTCAATGGTTTTACTTAGTGAGTAAAAGATAATAAATTCTGTAATAGTGGGGTCACCTGACAAATTCAGTATTTACTTCTCATCCCTAAATGGCCATGGGCGGATGGCATGGTATGCAAATGCCTTGTTGTAACCTTTCTGAGAGACAACAGTACATACACAGATGAAGATACAGTGGAGACACTTAGAGCTCTATAAATTCAATTAATTTATTAAGAATTTAAACAAATAACACACACTCTTAACTATTAGAGACATTTTAGTCACAGTCTTTTACTACCCTGATTTCTGTAACTAAACCCAAACATTATTAGCTGGGAGAGTTGGCAGCTGGCCAGGCTGAAACTCTGCTCAACGTCTTCACCACATCTACTGACGTTGGCTATCTTCTTACAATGTGAATCTTCGAAGTGCTGCTGAACAAAGGGATTTCTTCAGGCTCTTCGCACAGAGTCTATGTGCAAAGTGTATACCTTATTTGGAATTATCCATGCACTTGACTAATCCTGAACGTTTCATCCAAATGCATGCCTAATTTGGTGGAGGAAGCAGTTACTGATTTCCTGCAGTTTTAACTCTCAGCAGACCTAAATGACTCAGCATAATTCCATTCACGTAACAGTCAATTGTAAAACCTCTTATCGGTTCCTGTTGTCTTCAGCCTTATCCAACAGTCTTTGAGGTGAATTTACTGTCAGTTAGAGAATTTCAAAGTTTCGGCATATCGTTATCAAACAGACTAATTGGTCTAAATCAAGATAGCTCTGGACCCCTGTAACTTGCCTTGGGTTCGAGATGACAAACCCATCCAAGTTTGGTTGCCAGGGAGATTGGGTGGTTACAGGAGCAAGCTGACCTTGACATGTCTCTGTAGCCAAAAAACTCTGTCTCAGTTAAGTAATGGATGGCTGTACTGCATCCTGGAGGTATACTGCAGCTAGAGAGTCTAACTTATGGACAATGCTGTAAAAACAAAACAATGCCTCTTGGCTGGCAGCTCCTGTCTGAGCTTCCCTCTTTTCTTTTCCACCTTCACACATGGACATCTTTTTTGCTTTTTCTCTTCAGTCTCCTTGCCACTGCACAAGTCTGCCTGGTTATAATAATAAATATTTAGTAGCTCCCTCTGCCTATGTAAAACATATTGCTCATACCTTGGAGCAGCCTGTTTTTTTTTCAATCCTGCTGTTTTTAACGGCTGGCATACTGCTTGAATTTAATGTCACAGGAAGTGAGATTGATATAGATATAGAATCCGTATAGTGTGGAAGCAGGCCATTTGGCCCATTGTGCCTACACTGTCCCTGCGAAGAGCATCCCACCCAGACTCCCCCCACCCCCAATCCCTGTAACTCTGCACTTCCCACAGCGAACTCACCTAGCCTGCAATCCCTGGACACTATGGGCAATTTACCATCCACCTAACCTGCACATCTTCGGACTGGGGGAGAAAACCAGAGTGCTCGGAGGAAACAGACATGGGGAGAATGTGCAAACTCCACGCCGACAGTCACCCGAGGGTGGAATTGAACCCTGGTCCCTGGCACGGTGAGGCAACAGTGCTAACCACTGAGCCACCGTGCCACCCATTAGGAAATATTACAGTAAAAAATTTGTTTTCTGATAAGCTTGAACTTTCTACCAGCAGTTCAGTGCTTGAATTATAGTGATTTGCCTTGGAACTATGCCAATAAAATAGGATTGAAAATCATTTTTTGACTATTTAATTCAGGATATATTGTTTATTCATGCTGATTCATAGCCTTAAGCTGCTGTACCATTTAATTGCTTGATAATTCAAATTACCCTGAGCAAGAAAACTGTGCTGTTGATTTGAATTACTAAATGCAATGTTTCTCAAGACAAATAAAATTGAATTAATAGGAATCGAAATAGAAAATGCTAGAAACACACTGGTCCAGCAGCAAAATAGGACAGAGTAAAACAGAGTTATTATTTCAAGCCTATGACCTTTCATCAGAACTGGTCACAATGTTAGGGTTGGATCTAAGTGAATAGAGTGCTGCGAGTTCAGAATGAAATGGATTACGATGAATAGCAAAGCAGACAAATTGAGACAGCTGATATCATGGAAGCAATAGGATCATGGTGTAGTGGAAACATCACTGGACTATTAATCCAGATGCTCTGGGCCCTTGGTTCAAATGAGTAAAGTTAAATTCTGAAATTAAACGCTAGCCTTGGTCATGGTAGCTATCGATTTGTCATAGTGACTCATGTGATTCACTAATGTCCTTGAGAGAAGGAAATCTGCCATCCTTACCTTGTCTGGCTCACACGTGACTCCAGACCCACAGCCACATGGTTCATTATTAGCTGCCCTCTGCCAAGGCCTAGCAAGCCATTCCGTTCAAGGAAAACAGAAGCAGATTTTCACATCATCAGTGAGCCTCACATCCCCTGGAACGACTCATTAAAAAATTCTAGTGAGAGGGTTGGGAATGGGTAAAAGACCAAAGGGAAGAATCCAGATGAAGGGAAAATACATGAGGATGGGTAAAATGGCCCACTGAACTGAAAATTCTCCTGCCATAGAAGTGGATAATAAGACAAAGTTGATGGAAAGTTCATGTGAGGGCATAGAGCTGAGGCAAGATCACTCAGATTCCCCAAGGCACAGAGCATATTGTGAATAAAAAACGAGTGGAGAGGTTTGAAGAGGTAACAGGGCTAAAGAGAAAGGGAGGAAGGTTGGTTTTTGGTACCCATGAGTTGTTGCAGCTTGCGATCCTTTGCGCCTGAGATAAAAATAAAGTCATTTTTGTTAAATCACTGAATGAGTAGAAGGATGAAATGAAACTACAAACCAGAACAGTTTTGAGGTAACAAGGTGTAAAGCTGGATGAACACAGCAGGCCAAGCAGCATCAGAGGAGCAGGAAGGCTGACGTTTCGGGCCTAGACCCTTCTTCAGAAATGGCCCACTGAACTGAGAAAATTCTCCTGCCCATAGAAGTGGATAATAAGACCTTAAAACTGCTTGACCACGTACTGAAGCAAACCAGGTACTACAGCCACATCACCTTTCTTAGTACCTGCCTATGGAACCAGATCATCCCCAATGGACTATAGTCCACATTCAGGCCTTCCCAATTTGGCCCCAACCGTGACAATGTCTACATTCAGAACATTGAGACCCTTCAGAAGCGTTTCTCCCTGCGACTCCTGAAACCCATTTCTGAAGAAGGGTCTAGGCCCGAAACGTTAGCCTTCCTGCTCCTATGATGCTGCTCGGCCTGCTGTGTTCATCCAGCTTTACACCTTGTTATCTCAGATTTTCCAGCATCTGCAGTTCCTACTATCTCTGAAACAGTTTTGAGGTAGATTGAGTTGGTTCTGCTAAGAGAACAAATGTATCACAGCTCATGGTAATAAAAGTGGATTTTAGGATGGGATGTGAATAGTGGTTTGAAGAATTCTGAACATCTAATGAATATCTGTAAATGTGGCATGAAGGGTGGAAATGTTGTTGGAATTGGTTAAATTGGTCACTGACATGAAATGTGAACTCTTTCTCCCTCCGCTTATGCTGCCCAATTTAGTTTCCAGCATTTTCTATTTTAATTTTGGTGTTCGTGTCCATAGTAATTTGCTTTTGATTTTTTTTTTTTATTCATTCATAGAATGAGGGCATCACTGGCTAGGCAGCATTTATTGCCCATCTCTAATTGCCCAGAGGGCAGTTAAGAGTCAACCACATTGCTGTGGGTCTGGAGTCACATGTAGGCCAGAACTAGGTAAGGATGACAGTTTCCTTCACTCAAGAGCATGAGTGAACCAGATGGGTTTTTCTGACACTTGACGATGGATTATGGTTGTTGTTAAATCCTTAATTCCAAATTTCACGGAGTTCAAATTCCACCATCTGCTTTGGCAGGATTCGAACCCGGGTTCCCAGAACATTACGTCATCTCTGAATTAACAGTCCAATGATAGATGAGACTGTCTGTGGCCTGAAGGTGCTTGATAGTTAAAGTTCCGTTCACTGTCACACCCTGGGACGTCAAAAACAGAAATATTTTCACAAGTCTCGTGCGAAAATGGACAGGAATATAAAGCGGGCAACTCCTTTTTGTTGATCAGTTTTGAAGGGACTGTTTTTGTTTGACTTTCATTCTCTGTGGCTTCTCTCTGCAGGTTGGGAAGCAGCAGGAACTGGAAGCATGCGAAGCAGAGGCAGCCCGTCTGCATCAGCTGGAGGAGAAGAGGCGGCAGCAAGAAGCCGAGCTCAGGCGGGTGGAAGAAGAGAAAGAGCGTGTGGTGGAGCTGCAGCAGAAGGAGAAGGAGCTGAGGGAGAAGCTGCTGGAGAACCTGAAGCGGAAGGAAGAAAGTGAAAGCCAGCAGTGCAGAGCGGAGCCGAAGGTGGGTTTCGGAGACCGGACGGCTGTGAATGCATGCTCAGCGTTGGGAGCAGCCCCTGCACAGGCTGCTACCAGTCTCCTGGCATATCCTGGTGCTGTCAGCCATGGCAAGAAAGTGCCACTTGCTCAGGAAGTCAATGGAAAGCCAGATGCAGCTGAAAGATTCACTGGTGATTTGGGCCAGATTCAGCCACAAAGCGACATCATTCCTACTTCCCACCCAGGTGCTTGCAAGTCTATGCAGAGCAAGGAACACATAACCACTTTACCTAATAGTAAAGGTTGTTCCCTGCAGGAATGCAGTGGTAAAAAAGGTAAATATCAAAACGGCCCTAGCCATGCAGAAAAAGATCTTCAAACCAATACGGTCAAGATGGAAGGCAGCCAAATGCAAAAGGACTTGAAAAGGGCTCACAAATCCCGACAGAGCAGCACAAGCAGTGAACGCAGTAGAAACTGGAGGGACTCGAGTAGTGATGGCAGCTGCCATCAAAGGGAATGGAGCCGGCACCAAGTCCACTCAAGGAAGGAGAGTGCTCGACGTGGCAGGGACTCGAGCCGGCAGCAGAGCCGCAACTGGAGAGGCTCCAGCAACGAGCGAAGCTGCAGTCGACAAGACCAGAGGCGTGAGGGGAGGCGGTACCGAAGGAATGCCAGCAGGGATCGGGTCCGCGTCCGGCAGGGTTCCAGCAGGGAGCGGAACCGCCAACGGAATCCGAGCAAGGAGCAGAGACGGCGGAGGGGTGCGAGTGGGGAGCGGGACCATCGTCGGAAAAGCTCGAGCAGGGAGCGTAGCCGTCATCGTAGGGACACGAGCCGGGAGCGTAGCCATTATAAAGACTCCAACACAGGACACAGCCGTCATCGGAGGTAGTCAAACCCTTCACCTGGCTGGCTCTCATCACAGGTGAAACCAGAGAGCAGCAGGGTAAATAATAGAAGTGAATTCAGTGGTTTATAGAGATCTACAGCATGGAAATAGCTGCTTCGGCCCATCACGTTTGTTAGTAAATATAACACGGTACTGTGTATGCCCATTGTAACAATTCAATTTAAGCAGGGAAGAAGTAACTCTTGGGAAGCTTATGAAGTAAGTAAAGGTAAAATCACCATAGACCCAGAGAACTGTAGGGTTGCTCTCTCATCAGAGAGACAATAATATAAATTACTCTCCATATTGTCAGCAGAACAAGGAAAGTATTGGAAAGCAAACAATTGCATAGGTGCTAAAAATTGGATTCTAACATTGGGCATAATCAGATGTCAACATAATTGTCGGACCCAGAGCATAATTATTCTGTTGTTTAACACACCAAATGTGTGTTAGTTTCAATGCTAAATTTCCCTCATCATTTTCCCAAAATGCACATTTGAATGTACACCACAAACTTTTAATGTTTTCGTTGCAGATTAGTATTGCAAGGCAGAATTAAGGGAATGCTGGAGATGGGTATTTAGTTATGAATAATTTGTTATGGCAGTTACATCCTGATGGATGGTAGAGTTACACATAAGGGAGCTTCTTGCCTCTGAACAGCTGTTCATAACATATTCCCAACATTACCACATATTTTACGATGCAAATACTCATTGTTTGGTTGAGCACTAAGTACTGCAAAGAACTTAAATGTACAATGGGGGGAATGTGAAATCCTTGTTTCAGGGAACATTTTTCTTGGAATTTTTTGGCAGCTGTCTTTTGGAAGTTTTCTTGGATAATTTTGGTGCCTGAAGTTGTATAATGGGACAGTCTGCAACTCTTCACAAAACCATAAAATCCCATTTCTCTGGGATCCTATAGTGGTATTTTCTCTAATTTATGAGTTTGATCTTTGTAGTTTGGCAGTTCTGTAGATGTTGCGTTGTAGCCCCAGCAGATATTCATTGGCACAATGGGCAGTGTCCTGAATTTGAATTCTGAGAAGCAGCTGCCATGGAAAGATGTAAAATCTAGTTATTGTGGATTGTTTTCAATGCTTTTTAATGGACTTAATGCCTGTAAGCGCTTCATTCCCAACACAAAGTTAAAAAGCCAGAGGAACAGCAGTGAGTTTTTTGATGTGAATATTCCCTGTTTTCTTTTAGCTGAGAGAAAATGTCAGGGCATTTCCAAATAGACTGGCTGGATAAGTAATCACTTTCTCAGTGGTTAATCAACAACTCTGGTAAATCCATGGCTCTGCAACTGATTTGAATGGATTAGGGAAGTGTCCAATCATTTCTAGAAAATGGGACATTCTCAGGTGAATGACACTGGAGCACAGCGCGAATGAGCATACATCTGTGCAACACAGTGGCAGTTTGAATCATAAACCGGAAACAACCAGCACATTGGGCACCTTTTCTGTCTTACCAGCCAAAGCGGTTCAGTGCACGATGCAAGAGTATGTGGTTCATCTCTTTAAAAATATGTAATGTGTCTTTGCATGTAATGTACAGTTCTGATAACTCAGTTCATTAGAACATTCAGTTGTGGTTATCTGGTACCAATTGAATGGTATACCAACAAAGAGCAGGGAGTGCTGGAAAAATACTGAAGGTTCTGATGAAGAACCACTGTACTCAAAACATTAACTCTGTTTTTCTCCTGAGAGATGCTGCCAGACCTGCTGTGTTTCTCCAGCACACACTGTCTTTATTTCAGCATCTGCAGTGCTTTGTGTTTATTGTGCCAACGGATTATCCTTGCAGAGCGTGCCAGTGAGCCAGGCTGGCGGGTTCGCTGTGCTGCCTTAGGCTGCTGGATGATTCTCTCTGCCACGTGCATCATCTTGAGGCAAACTTTACTCCCAAGGAAACTTGCTTCCAATCCCAAAATACTTCGTGAATTAAAAATATTGTCGGTTTATGATGCAAATTTGAGTGACATCACTTATAGTGTGATTTAATTCCCCTCACTTCGCAACCTGTTGATATCCAGATCTTAAACCTGCCTGACCATTTTGAAACTTCTTTTCCTGACATCAATACTTGAATATTGAAAGGTGTCTGTAGCGAGTTCACAGGTGGTGCTTGTGATATTCGGGCCCATGCACTTCTTTGTTTTTTAAAAAAAAAGCATCTCTTTAGGTTTATGCCCTCTTTTCAACAAATACCCACATCCTCCTTCACTGTGACATTGACAAAGGTCCAGGCATACAAGTTGCAGCTATATTTTAGAAAGTGTATAAATGACGAAGCCAACAAAGGATTTGAAGCTTCGAGAAGTGGATTTGGGAGCTGGGTAAATGAGCTCCAATAGGCCATTTCCCAGTAATAACTTCTCTCAAGAATCCAAAGTTGTATTTATAATCTCATCTTAATTAATATTAAACATCTTTGAGTTCTATTAATACAAAAGTTATGAAAACTGCTCCATTTAAATCATTTATTTGAAATTACTGGAAATCTGAAGTTTTCTTGAGCAAAGTAAAACTTTGCATTGATAGGGAGTGTGTTTAAAGTTCTTAATAGATTATCTCAAATCATTTTATGATTTGACTCAATGAATGCTAATAAGGACTTAAATAGGAGCCAAAGGCGATCACTGTGACCTATCACTAACATTTAAGAAGATCATGGCTAATCTTCCATTTCAGGTCCATTTTTTTTGCCTTACCCCGAGACTTCTGATTCTTTCTGTGTCTTAAAATCAATCAGTCTCAATTTGAATATACTTGACCAAAACTCTGAGAGGCAACAAATTCTAAAGAATTGCAACTTTCATCCCAATATTAAATGATTGATCCTTTATCCTAATGTCATGATTCCTTGTTATGGACTTTCCAGCCAAGGGAAGCTACCTCTCAACATCTAGGAAGGAGTTGATGAGATCCTGAGAGAATTAGACTTCAAGGAGGCTTCAGAACATTGAAAGATAAATAGAAAAGATGAGAGATTTGGTAAAATAAGATGGCCAAGGAATCTGATGGAGGTTTGGGGGTGGAATGCGGTACACGAGAATAGTTAACATGAGTAATATGGGCAGGGAAAAGGAGCTCGAGGATGCTGTAAAGGTAAGAAAGAAGGAGACCATGAAATAATTTCACAACTGAGTGAGGGATTGGGGCCAGTTCTTTATGTGAAGAAAAGAGGAGACAAGTACAATTTATGTGGGATAGGTTACAAATTATGTTGTTCAGAATGAATTGACATTCCAATGCAATGAATAGATGATTGGGTAAAGCATAGTGAAAGTATCCATATCTTGCTGTTTTCAGCTTTGTATTTTCTGTGGGAGCATCTACCAGAGAGATTGAGATGCTGATAAATCTAGAACAATGAAATGAACTTTGCTTCCAGTTGCTAAGTCCACCATGACTTGGTCACCTTTTGAGCTTTAATGACTCCATGGTTAATTAACATTAAAGCACACAGCAATCTGAAGAAACCAGTATTCAAAGACGTGGGCATTCTGCAAGGTTACATTTGAGTACTCTTGAATGTTGCTATGGTGATGTATGTACTAATTACAAACATAATTTGGTACATTAAGCTACTTGAAATTCAGCTAAACAAAAATCTAAAGTTTAGTTATATGTTCAACAGAAATTTGATCTCTATTCTCCAATTTTGAGAAATAACTTAATTTTAATGAAACTCTCCAGTTCTACATTAAAGAAACCAAAACAACCCGGATATCCCCTTTAAAGTGTATTTTCAATACAAGTAGAGGTGAATGCAAGCCGGTCACAAAGGGTGTCTTGATCTTTGGCGCAGTTGATTTGTTCCATCCAATATCTCTACGTGATCTAATGCTTTAGCTTTATGTTGTACACAGGGTCACCCTATGGAATAGCTCCAACTTTTTAATATCGTCATTTGTTATTACTGTGTCAAGCTTATCTCAAACCTTTGAAATATAGAGCAAGCAATTTTGAAGATGTCCTCTTGTGGAAGATGAGTCCTCCCCCTGCCCAATGGTTTTCACTTCCATATGAAACATGTTTTAGGTCTATGATGATAATAGATAAGTACTGATAGGTGTGCCATGAGACTGGTGTTAATGTCATCAAAATGGGCCTACAACATAATTAGCGTAAATATATTTCAGTCAGAAAGGACTGCAGTTGGTCATGGGAACTTAAATTGCAAAAACATGGAGCTGTGGTAAACTGATCATAGATACAATTTTTAAGGTTTTCTTTCCCTTCCGTGATCTTGATCTTCCCACCCTCGAGATGAGATACACGATGGTCAGTGATCTCTGAGAGCGTGGGCATTTTAGGGGGTGAGGCATTGTAAGAGTTAAATAACTTCACTCTTCTGCAAAAAAACAGTGCTTTGGACTCATTCCCCCCACCCCCCATTGATTTCTGGCGACTATAAATCAAGGCTACATTTTAACATGATCTTCTCTAATTTTAACAAGAGTAATGACAATAATAGATATGGGCCAGCATGCTTAAGATTAATTTGCAATTCAGCAATACTTAATGCTGAAAATAGTAAAACAAAAAGTTTTGATTATACTTCAACATCTTGCTTAAGTTTGTTTACTTCCACAGACATAGAAAGGGGTAAGGATGTCGCCAACTTAATCTTAGCCTTTTCCTATTCTGCTTCAACCATCAATAATCAGTTTTTGCAGTTGTGACAGGTGCACAAGGTTATCACAAGGCAGCAGACAGACTAAAGCAGTGTATTTTTACAGCACAGTAACTTTAGGGTAAAGCTTAAAGTCATTCAATTCTTGTGATGCCTAATTCCCCTCAGACAATCACATTCGTACATCTGGTAGGATTCAGCCATTGCTTATCTGCAAATCAGCTCCAGGAACTGCAGAAGAATGACCCTCGAATGGTTTTCTCCAGCTTTCCCTCAGCTTCTTTCTTCCCCATTGCTGAATTCTATTACTCCACATGGTGCAGTAGATGAAGCAGAGGTCACAAGCAGGAATAATATGCTTCAGTTACAAAGCTGCTCTGCCCAAATTGATAGTTTATTTAAAGATCTGAATTCCTGTGCTTCAGTTGTTGTAATGCTTCTTTTATTCCTTTTCTGGTACATGGAGACCAATTTCATTCACAGAATGAGAAAAGCTATATTGTGGAGAAGTTGAACTCCGTCCTTAAACAGCTTTGACATTTTGACCACTATTTATTTGAAGGTAAGGATTTCATAGTATCAATGGCATTAAATCGCAGTCAAATCATTTTGAGAGATCAGTATTTTCAAAAAGCGTAAATAAACTACAAATTACTCTGTCTTCTGGCAGAACACAGAAAATTGCAGCAAATGAGACGTGCAAAAGGAAAAATTTATTTCGTGCATTTAATTGATGAGAAGAAAGCAACACAATTCGTGATGGCTGTGGACCACAGTCAAATCAGAGATTGCACTTTGAAAATATTTTTAATTATTCATTTGTAGCAAACTAACACACAATGAGCATCGTGAGGTTTTTTTAAACACCGCGGTCCCTGTTTTGTACAGCATCCTTGGCAGACACGAGTGCTCCATCTCATTTGCAGTGTTGTGCATGTTCTGTCCTGTATAAGACACTTCCTTTGACATTGTGGGAATAAATACGCTTTTGTTTCCATTTGACTCTTTACTGTCGTTTGCTGACTTCCAAATGTATGCTCCTTTGTTTGTTTCCACCAAATTGCTTGAAATTGTCCTGTATTTATTTTGTATTTTCTTCCATACATGATTGTGAATTGTTTGTAACCTTCAGTAAACAAAAGGTTTTTTTGAAATGTCTTTTCCTGGTTGTCTTTTTTTTTTATTGAGGAACCTAGATAAAAGTATATGTAACTTAGTTTTTGACTTTATTCAAAGGTAATTGGCCACCATCTTCAAAATGTTCAGACTACTTAATGATTAAAAATTCATGTATCCAAAATGGGCTGCTTACATTATCTATCTGTCATGTATAGGATGCACAATTTGCATTATTTCCCTTTTAAACTTTAGCTCTTGTAAATGCATTGTCATTTTTTATATTCATTCACAGGATTTGGGTATTATGAGAAATGCCAGCAGTTATTACTTATCCCTGATTCTCCTCAAGATGGTATTAAATCACCTTCCTGAATACATCTGTGAATGCTTTGCAAGGCAATTTCTGAGTACATGCAAGTCAGCTGTATTATAGTGCGTTTGAAAGTCAGATGCATACTGAACCAGATAGGGACAGCAGGTTTCCTTCCCCAGTTGGCATTAATGATCCAGATGGCATGTTTTCCAACAATCTGACAGCAATAGTTACCAGACTGATACACTGCAACCTCTTCAGTCCAGATGCTTGGAGTGAAGTCATTTCTGGGTTTCATAATTTTCTGTATTACAGAATGACTTGGGCTTGCCTGAGCACAAGCGTGTGAACTAGAAAACACCATTTAGATACAAACCTGAAACATACGAGAATGATAAAATATTATGAGATGGTAATAAGTGTTCATTATCTTTATTCAGCACATGCAACAGGTGAAATTGTAAACCTGAGAGTTACTCTGCGCAAAATAAATCCACAAAACTGGTGCTTTTGTACAAGTTTCCAGCTAGGAGAGGTTACATTGTGCCAGCTTTCTATTCCCGATTAATTCTTTATTATAATATATACGGTGCTGTTTGTTGGAATTTGAAATTGTGGGCTGAATATACCAAAAATTGGCTGTGTTAGTTTTAGAGAGTTTGTGGAATGTTTCTGTGAACTTCAGCAAGCTTTCTCACCGTCTCATCCCAACCTCCCCTCATTACCTGTGTACCACCCTCTGCTCATCACATTCTTCTACTTACAAGCGTAAGTTCTGGCCACTGCTGGGACATCCTGAGATTCTTGGCACCAATGCCATCTTTGAAACCTGGCACTGGCAGGTCGAGCATTGGCCGCCAAGGGCTGCTCTCTACAATTCCTGTCAATTACTCCAAACATGTAGGATGGAGGGCAGTTGACACGCTGCTTTACTGACTGAGTTCTGGTGGATGGGAGCTGTGTGTGTTGGATGTCGTTGGAGTGTCCCCTGAGATATGGGTGACTGATCATCAAGATGAAAAGCTGGAGGAACAAGCAGTGAGGTACATTCCCCCCAGACTGTCGTGTCAGGAATTGTTGCTGTCTAGTTTCTATTTGACAGCTTGAAAATTGGTAAGCATGTATCAATGAAGTTGAATTGGATGCTGTAGGAAGGATAAACAGGAAGGCAAAAGAGGAGGGAGAATGGTTTTTTGATTAAGGAAAACTACTGCTGTAACTAGAGAAGATATTTCTGATAAATTGTGCAGTGAAAATATATAAGTTGAAATTAGAAATAAGAAAGAAATGATCATCTCCATGGTATTGTACTATGGGCCGCCCATTACTCAGAGGGAAATTGCAGAAAAAAATATGAGGAGAGATCTCAGATATATGTAAAAATAAAAAGGTTGTAGTAGTAGGTGATTTTAATTTTCTAAACATTGGCTGGGACCACCACAGTATTAAAGGTGCAGATGGTGAAGAATTTGTTAAATGTGTTTAAGAAAATTTTCTTTAACAATATTTAAATAGAGAAGGAGCAAAACTTGACATTGCCTTATTACCCAAGACGGGGCAAGTGCCTGAAGTGATACTAGGGCAACACTTTGGGTTTAGTGATTATAATTTTATTAGTTTTAAAATAGTTATGGAAAAGAATAAGCCTTCTATAACAATTTTAAAAGTTTTTAATTGGAGTAAAGCAAATACTGATGGTATGAGACAACAACTTTCAAAAGTTGATTGGAGTAGACTGTTCACAGGTGAAGGGATATAAAGGTAGACAAATCTCCAGGGTTTGATCTAGTGTATGCCAAGTAATTGTGGGAAGTTAGAGAGGAAATTGCAAGGCCCCTCTTTTTTTTTGGTCTAGGCCCGAAACGTCAGCTTTCCTGCTCCTCTAATGCTGCTTGGCCTGCTGTGTTCATCCAGCTCTACACCTTGTTATCACAGGTGAAGGGATGTCTGATAAAAGGGATACTTTCAAAAGTCTCAGAGTCAGAGAGTTCAGAATCAATAAGTTCCTGTTAGAGTGAAAGGTAAGGCTGGTAGGATCAGGGAACAATGGATGAATAAAGATATTGAGGTTCTAATCAAGAATTTAAAAAAAAAAACCTCGATAGGTATAGACAACTGGGTTCAAATGAATCTCCTGAATAGTATAAAGAGTATAGGGGCATTCTTAAAGAATTCAGGAAGGCAAAGAGCCAATATGAGATAGTGTTGGCAAATAAGGTTAAGGATAATCCAAAGAGATTCTACAAGTACATTAAAAGCAAGAGAGCAACTGGAGAGAGAGATAGGCCCCTTAAATATCAGAGGTCACCTAAACCTCATGAGACAGGAGAGATATTAAAAGAATATTTTGTGTTAGTTTTTACTATGGAGAATGAAATGGAAGTTGGAGAAATCAGCAGTAAATATTGATGTTTTGAAAATGTTACATGTTACAGAAGAGGAAGTGCTGGAGGTCTTAGAAAATATAAAGGTAGCCAAATCTCCAGGGTTTGATCTAGTAATTGTGGGAAGTTAGAGAGGAAATTGCAGGGTCCCTTGCAGAAATATTTCTATCATCTATAAATATGGGTGGATGACTGGAGACAACCTTTTGTTTAAGAAGGGATATTTATGAGATGCCTAGGAACTATCAGACCTATGAGTCTAACTTCGGTGGTGGGTAAGTTGTCGGAGGTGATTCTGAAAAATGCGATTTTTATGCATTTGGAGAGGGATATTCTCCATGGTTTTGTGTGGGGGAAATCGTGTCTCAAACTTGATTTGAGTTTTTTTGAGGAAGTAACCAAGAAAGTTCATAGAATCTTACAGTGCCATTTGGCCCAACAAATCCTAAACAACTCTCCAAAGAGCATCCCACCTGGGCACACACCCCAACCCCTGTACCCCTGCATTTCCCATGGCTAATCCACCTACCCTGTACATCCCTGGACAGGATGGGCAATTTAACATGGCCAGTCCACCTAACCTGCACATCTTTGGACTGTGGGAGGAAACCTGTGCAGACATGGGGAGAATGTGCAAACTCCACACAGTCACCCAAGACTGGAATTAAACCTGGGTCACTGGTGCTGTGAGGCAGCACTGCTAATCACTGAGCCACCATGCTGTGATTGATGAGGAAAGAGCAGTAGACATTGTTTACTTGGACTTCAGTAAAGCCATTGACAATGTTTCTCATGGTAGACTAATTACTAAAGTTAGATCTCACTGGATTCAGGATGAGCTTGTCAATTGGACATTAAAATTGGCTTAACAGTAGGAGACGGAGAGATGGTGGACAGTTGTTTTTCAGACTGGAGGCCTGTTATTGGCGGTGTTCCACAGGATTTATACAGGGTCTACTTTTGTTTGTCATTGATGTAAATTATTTAGATGAGAATATAGAAGGCATGGTTAGTAAATTTGTGGATGACACCAAAATTGGTGGTATAGTGGATAGTGAAGAAGGTCATCTAAGATTACAAAGAAATCTTGATCAATTGGGTTAATGGGCTGAGGAGTGACTGATGGAGTTTAATCTGGATAAAGTGAGGTATTGCATTTTGGTGAAACAAACAAGGGCAGGACTTATACAATTGAAAGTGGGGCCTTGGGTGGTGTTGTAGAACAGACAGATCTAAGGGTTCAAGTTCATAATTCTCTGAAGTTTGTATCACATGCTAACAGCATTGTTAAGAAGGCAATTAGCATACTTTCTTTCATTGCTCAGACCTTTTGAATATAAGAGTTGGGATGTCATGTTGAGGTTGTACAGGATGTTGGTGAGGCCTCTTTTGAAGTACTCTGTCCAGTTCTAGTTGCCCTGTTATAGGAAAGATATTAAGGGTTCAAAAAAGATTACCAGGATGTTGCCAGGAATAGAGGATAGACTTAGACTTTCCTCACTAGAGTGTAGGAGGTTGAAAGGTGACCTTATAGAGGGTTATAAAATCATGAGAGGAAGAGATAAGGTGAATGGCAGATGTCTATTCACTAGGATGGGGTTTCAAAGACTAGGGAGCATTTCTCTAATGTGAGAGGAGAAAGATTTTAAAAAAGACATGAGACAACTTTTTCTCACACACAGTGGTCCATGTGTGGAAAGAACTTCCAGAGGAAGTGGTGGATTGGATAAATACATGAGTAAGAAATGTTTGGAAGGATATAGCAAAGCACAGGCAGGTGGGACTGTTTAGTTTGGGATTATGATCAGCCTGGACTGATGGACCGAAGGGTCTGTTTCTGTTCTGTATGATTCAATGACAATTAAGCGTCAACCAATGTTACTGTGAATCTTGAGTTACATAGAGGCCTGCTCAGGTAAGGATGGCAGATTTCCTGCCTTAAAGGGCATCGGTTAATCAGGTGATTCTTGGATAGTTGTCCTGATCACCAATACTGAGAAACTTTCAATACCAGATTTTAATTGAATCCACCAGCTTGATAGTCGGTTTTTGAACCCATTTCTCCAGATAATGCATCTGGATTTTTTGCGTTACTGTACTAGTGAAATTACCACTATACCACTGTCTTCCTCCAGAAGCAACTTAACAACTAGATCCTGTAATAGTAGGAATATAGGGCCTTGAAATGGAATGGATTGACGAGCGAGAAAGAAGTGCACTCTCTCAGTGAATTAATTAACATCAACTGCAACTGCATAAAGCAAAAATGTGCTTATTAAAAGTAATTTCTTACTTCACTGCATCTCTCAGGTTTCTTTGCACTTGATCCAATTCAGGCTCATAGAATTTCAATGCAGTTGAACCACCCCTTTGTCTTGGACAGTTTTGACAAAATCTTCCTACTTCTATATTCCATTCCCTTTGAAATAAAGGCCAACTTTCCATTTGCCTCTATGTGTATTTCTTTCAAAAGCTCTAACTTTTGTAATGACTCCCTGAATAGCAGTAGGTATACAGCCAACTTATCTGAACAAATATGTTAAAATATTTTTATGGAGAAGTTCCAACAAACTGGAGGAAGTCCAGTAAAGACAGCGTAATCATAGTCAAACCTCATCATCTACAGATAGATTTTCAGAGTAGGGCCAATCTCATGTAGATTGTCACTAATATAGGATCATTTCTGAAGTTTACCTGACTTGGATTAATGACTGGCTAACAGGCTGAACACAGACAACAGGAACGAATCGGTCATTCTCACAATGGCAGGCTATAACAAGTGGGGTAGGTATTTTCTAATCCATCTATTCAGAGATATTGTTATACACGCCTGCAGCAGGTGTGACTGGAATACAGACCTCATGGCTCAGAGGTAGGAACACTGCCATGATGTCACATGGGCCCATGTGACTAATGGGGTACCACAAGAATCAGTATTTCAGCCCCAGTTGTTTACAATATATTATCAATGATTTAGAGTTGGGGACCGTGGGGATACAATGCTTTATTTCACCCTCCAACTCCAATTTGACCTAGCCCTTTCCCTCTCTCCCTACCTCCCCCTCACTTTTGATGGCTTGCATTGCTCATATGGGCTTTGCTTGTAAATATTTAATTGACTACCTGGATGATTCTTGGTGGTGATTAGTACTTAAAGGAAAGAAAATGTAATAGAAAGCCGTGGTGGTTTTGGTGGTGGGAAAGTCGCTCAGTTGTGCATGATAGCATTTCTGGGGCTATAACAAGAAGTGGAGGAGGGACCAAATGTAGTATTTCCAAACTTGACTTGTGGTTGATACAAAATGGAGTGGAAATGTGTGTTGTGAGGAAGATGTAAAATGACTTCAGGAGAATGTGGATGGGCTAAGTGAATGAGCAAGAACATGACAAATGGAATACAATGCGGAACAAATGTTGGAGGAACGTGCAGAGTATTTCTTAAATGGTAAGAGGTTGGAAAACGTAGATGTACGAAGGATCTAGGTGTCTTTATCAACAATTCACTGAGGGATAACATGCAGGTTCAGCAAGCTATTAGGAAGGCTAATGGAATGTTAGCTTGCATTGCAAGAGGATTTGAGTTCATGAATAGTGAACTTGCTGCAATGATATAGGAGCTTGGTTAGACTGCAACTAGTGGATTGTATGCACTTGTGGTCTCCTTATCTCAGCAAAGATACTATTGTCATAGTGGGAGTGTGACAGAGGTTCATTGGACTTGTTCCTGAGATCCCAGGACTGTCCTATGGAGAGAGATCGTGAACACTGGAGTTTCTTCAGAGTTTCAAAAAATGAGAGGTAACCTTATTGAAACTTGCAAAATACTTAAAGGGATAGTAGGATAGATGCAAGTAAGATGTTTCCCATGGTTGAGTAGTATAGAACCAGGGGGCACTATTTTAAAATAAGGGAGAATACTGTCAGGTCTGAAAAGATAATTCTTTTTACTCAGAGGGTTGATAACCTTTGGCATTCTCCACCACACAGTGTTGTGGAAGCTCAGTCTTTGACTATGTTGAAGGTAGAGATTTCTGATTGCCAATGATGTACAGGGTTATGGGGATGGGTGGGTCAAAGGCATTGAAGTATTTGATCAGCCGTGATCGTACTCAATATTGGGGCAGGCTCAACACACTAAATGGCCTACCCCTGTTCCTGTGAGATTGGCTTTCAATCTAGATTAGTTTTTGATTAATTAGTTGAATTAATAACTTAATTCAAATTCCACCCGCTGCCATGGTGGGATTTGAACCCATATCTCCAGAGACTTAGCTTGTTCCTGTAGATTACTAATCCTGTGACACTGCTACTGTCTCCCGTCTAAGAGTATGGAGCAATTATGTGATCAACTGTTTCAAAAAAGGGAGGCCACAAACATTCTTGGCATCCAATACCCCACAATTCCTTCATCTGATTCAGACTATGAGGGGCTTGTAAAACTCTACCTTAAATGAAAGGTCATTTTGTTTTCTCTTGAAGACCTGCTAAGATAAGGAGCCTAATAACCAAAGTGATAATGTCAAAACAGAATCACGTGTGGCTATAATCTCCTTAAATGATTAGAAAGACATCTGGGATTAGTACCTCCGCAGCCAGTGCATCAAACACAATCATTTTATTGTGCCTGTGAGATTAAAGTTTCTGGAAGTTACATTGACGAGCTGCTAATTTGATGGAAAACATTCAACTCTGAAGTATTGAGTTGCTGGTGCAAATTTTATAATGGAACTATCCAAACAGGAACTTGAATATCCTCAGAAGCTGTTAAATTATATGGATGGATTTCTCATTTCTAAGGTAGGTCAAGATCCCACCGAGGTGGGAAAGTAATCTGTTCCCCAAGGCATTTATAATGCTGCTCTCTAGATATATTTTTCAATTGATTAGGTTTGACACACGAGTCATTTTGACTTTGTGCAATTGTTGAAAGTGGATGATAGCAAATCGGAGACCTGGTTTTATATCTCCCTGCAATCTTATTTCCAATGACTTCAAGAGAAATAAGAGCCTGAGTTTGCAAGGAGAGGATCCTGCTTGATTGACCTTCTGAGGAAAGAGCTCAGTTTGGACTGCAGAAAAATATTTAGTGAAGTTTGACATGAAGGGCTGTTAATGGAGTTCAAAGCTCTGTGGATTCAGGGAAACTCTTGAGAATCAACTGAAGGGTGGAAAGAACTGGATACCTGCTAGAAGAGTTAAGTAGGATATAATCTAAGTGCCCCCAAAGAACCAGTGCAGTCTTTACATCAATGAACTGAACCCTAAACTCAACACCTACCAATCAGATTTGCAAATGATGCTAAGGCACAAGGGGTAGTGAAAATGTAAATGGCAGCTTGAGAATTGCTAAATTAATTAGCAAAAAATGTGTAACTGGGCAGAAGAAGCAGCGAATGTGTAGTACCACTATATTTCCTTTTAAGAAGTAAAGTAAAACAGTACATGCCATCTGTGATTGATGTTGAGGAGGTAAGAGATGAAGCTGAAAGCAACCTAGCATTGTCATTGAATACAAGTCAAACCAATACAGAACATCAATCAGCAAATCCAATTGAATGTTCAACGACACAGCCAATACAATGGAATAAAAACCATAGAAAAAAAATGATCACATTCTGTGATGTTCTCATTACACTGTCAGACAAAGCTGAGAGGTAACTTAATAGTCTTTTTAATGGTATGTTTGCTAGGCTGCCTGTGGAGAAAATATTTCCACTTTCAAGATTGTAGATGCTATGTTCATAAATACAAGATCGTCATGTATTAATACAGATATGAATTTAGCTAGATGTGCTTTCTCAAAGAATAGTTGCAATGTAGAACTTGTGACCTCATAAAGGCAAAAAGCATGGATGGATTTAAGCATCATTTAAATAAGTACATAAGGAAGAAAAGAATTGAAGGCTTTCCAGGTCAGGTTGGATGAAGAAGGGTAAGAAGTTGTTTGAGTACTTCACAAAATGCTGACATCAGCCAGTTAGACAAATGGGCTGTTTTGCTGATGAAGTTTGTGGTAATGTCACTGGACTAGTAATCTAGACAGCTAGACTAATGTTCTGGGAATGTGGGTTCAAATCCCATCATGGCAGATGGTGAAATTTGATTGCAACAATATAATTACGGAATTAAAAAGCATATAACTATCGTCACAAAACCCAATCTGGTTCACTGATGCCATTTAGTGAAAGAAATCTGCCAACCTTATGCGGTCCGGTGTATAGGTTTTTGCTTTTGTTTCCGGCTTTAAAAAAAGACGACACGGTGGCTCAGTGGTTAGCACGGCTGCCCCAGTGCCAGGGATTCCACCCTTGGGCAACAATGTTTGTGGAGTTTGCACGTTCTCCCCATGTCTGCGTGGGTTTCCTCCGGGTGCTCTGGTTTCCTCCCACAGTCACAAAAATGTGCAGGTTAGGTGGATTGGCCATGCTAAATTGCCTGTAGTGTCCAGGGATGTGTTGGTCAGGTGCATTAGCCATGGGAAATGCAGGGTTACAGGGATAGGGTAGGGGGTTGGGTCTGGGTCTGGGTCTGAGTCTGGGTGGGATGCTCTTCAGAAGGTCGGTGTGGGCTCCTTGGGCCGAATGGCCTGCCTCCACACTGTAGGGAATATATGAATATGTGACTCCAAATCCACAGCAATGTAGTTGACTCTTGAGTGCCCTCTGGCCTAGATATAAACAAATAATTAAATATGGTATGTAATACACCCATGCACTATGCCTGGTTCTGATCCCTGAGAAACATTGGAAGCAATGGATAGAAGAGGTCTCTGTTGTTGAGAAAATTAAAAGCTTTTTTTCAGCCTGGACAAGAAATCATGAATCAAATTCTTTATTAAAATGTTAATGTTAGTGAATGATTATAAAGAATTATGCCAAAGTAAATTACGAATTGGACAAGTAGTACAGAATCAAACAAAGTGAGGTTACACTGGAAAATTCAGGTGCAGGAGCAAAATACATATTGGAAATTTAAAATTAAAAGGAAATTTTTAAAATAAAGGCTGAAAATACTCAAAGCCAGGCACCGACAATGGAGAGGTCCGGATTAGTGACAAGATATCTCTGAATGGATGAACTAACATGCTCCGATTGCATGTTCCACTGCAAGTTCTCCTCCAAGCCATTCACCATCCTGACTCAGAAATATGTCACCATTCCTTCTCTGTCGCTGGATCAAAAGCTTGGAATTCCGCCCTGATGGCATTGTGAATCAGCCTATAGCACAGACTCCACAGTGGTTCAAGAAGGCAACTCAGCACCACCTTCACAAGGACAAATAGGAATGGCCAATAAATGCTGGCCCAGCCAATGACACCCACGTCCCATGAGAGAATAAAACAAAAACCTACACACAATAATCTGGTTTCAGAAGATTTTAAGCAATAAGTATTGGGGGAAAACTCTCATGTACTTTTACAAATAATGTGGAGAGATCTTTGACATTTCATAGAGTCATAGAATTGTACAGCATGGAAACAAACCCTGTGGTCCATGCTGACCAGATATCCTAAATTAATCTAGCCCCATTTGCCAGCATTTGGCCCATATCGCTCTGGACCCTATCTATTCATGTACCCTTCCAGTGCCTTTTAAATGTTGTAATTGTACCTGGCCCCACCACCTCCTCTGGCATCTCGTTCTGTACATGCACCACCCTCTGTGTGGAAGAAGTTGTCCTTCAGGCCCCTTTTATATCTTTCCCCTCTCACCTTAGACCTATGCCCTCTAGTTTTGGACTCCCTTACTGAGAGAAAAAGACCTTGACTATTCACTTTATCAATGCCCCTCATGATTTTCTAAACTTCAATACGTCACCTCCTCAGCCTCTGACGCTCCAGGGAAAATAGCCCCAGTTCATCCAGCCTCTCCCTATAGCTCAAACCCTCCAATCCTGGCAACATCCTTGTAAATCTTTTCTGAACCCTTTCAAGTTTCATGACATCTTTCCTATAGCAGGGACATCAGAATTGAACACGGTATTCCAAAAGTTGCCTAACCAATGTCCTGTTCAGCCACAACATGACGTCCCAACTCCTATACTCGATGCACTGACCAATGAAGGCAAGCATGCCAAATGCCTCTTCACCACTCTGTCTTCCTACAACTCCACTTTCAGGGAAATATGCACCCCTAGGAGTCTGTGTTCGACAATACTCCCAAAGCCCTACCATTAACTGTATAAATCCTGTCCTCGTTTGACTTACTAAAATGCAACACCCCACATTTATCTAAATTAAACTCCATTTGCCATACCATTGGCCCATCTGATCAAGGTCCTGTTGTACTCTTAAATAACCTTATTTGCTGTCCACTATACCACCAACTTTGCTGTCATTTGCAAACTTATTAATCATACCTCCTATACTCACATCCAAGTCATTTATATAAATGATGAAAAGCGGTGGACCCAGCGCCGATCCTTGCGGCACACGGCTGGTCACAGGCCTCCAGTCTGAAAGACAACCCTCTGCCATTACCCTCTTGAAGGTCTTCTACCTTCAAGCCAATGTTGTATCCAATTGGCTAGCTCCCCCTGAATTCCATATGATTTAACCTTATTAAGTAGTCTACCATGCAGACAGATTCTTCATTTTATGGCTAGTTCGGGGAAAAAAATACTATTAAGTGCAGAGGACAAGGAATTAGGAATGAAACTAACTGATACGCTGCTCTCACCTACTTCCAAACGAACTCTGGTTGTAGACCATGTTTGCTGCCTGTGAGCTGGGAGTATTTGATCTGCTGGAAAATGAAGGGGCACTCCCTTCCAGTGCGGTTGCAGAGAAGCTTGGCACCAGTACTGATGGCATGGACAGACTCCTCACTGCTTGTGTTGGGCTACAGCTGTTACAAGTCAAAGAGCACCAAAGCGAGGGTAATCAAATTCTTGACGTTTTCCACTACCAATGTATTTTGAGATTTTTCTGTGTTCGTGTGCTTGTGTAAGTGTGCGCCTGAAGATACGGGGTTAACAATTTATAGGACTTTTTGTTTGTATTTAGAGTAATGCAAGTATATTTAATTTACAATGAGCTCCTTCTGTGCATTATTATTAATACACACGTGACCCTGTTCTCACGTGTTCCTGTCAGTGCTTTTTTTTTCCTCTTTATTCATTTGTTGGATGTCGGCATCGCTGGCTGGCCAGCATTTATTACCCATCCCTAGTTGCCCTTGAGAAGGTGGTGGTGAGCTGTTGCCTTCAACTGCTGCAGTCCTCCTGCAGTGGGTTAATCCACAATGTCATTAGAGAGGGAGTTCCAGGATATTGACCCAGTGACAGTGAAGGAACAGTGATATATTTCCAAGTCAGGATGGTGAGTGACTTGGAGGGGATCTTGAAGGTGGTCGTGTTCCAATTTATCTGCCACCTTTGTCCTTTTAGATGGAAGTAATCGTGGGTTTGGAAGGTGCTGTCTGAGGATCTTTGGTGAATTTCTGCAGTGCATCTTGTAGATAGTACACACTGCTGCAACTGACTGACTGACAGTGGTGGAGGGAGTGGATGTAGTGCCGATCAAGCGGCTGCTTTGTCCTGGATGGTGTCAAGCTTCTTGAGTGTTGTTGGAGCTGCACCCATCCAGGCAAGTGGGGAGTATTCCATCACACTCCTGATTTGTGCCTTGTAGATGGTGGACAGGTTTTAGGGAGTCAGGAGGTGAGTTACTTGCTACAGTATTCCTAGCTTCTGACCTGCTCTTGTAGCAACTGTGATTATGTGGTGAGTCCAATTGAGTTTCGGGTCAATGATAACCATCAGGATGTTGAAAGTGAGGGAGGTTCAGTGCTGTATTAATGTGGGTGCCAACTATTTCCAAACAATCGGGGAAATTTGTGCTAAGTATAGCACAGACAAGAGTTTACACAATTGAATTTCTTTTCGTATTATCACACACTGCTGAGCAGATAGGACTTAAACTGAGACTCTCAAGTCCAGAAGTAGAATAACTGTAAGACCTGAAAAAATGCATTATTATCTCTTCTGAAAATAGTGCATAGATAAAGACTGCAGCTAGTCTACTGAAAACAGTTTTGGTCCCCTTATCTAAGGAAAGATATCCTGGCATTGGAGACAGTCCAGAGATTGTTCACTGGCTGATTCTGGGTACACAGGGACAGTCTTAACAGGGGAGATTGTGTAGGTCGGGCTTGTACTCAATGGAGTTGAGAGGAATGAATGGTAATCTTACTAAAACATCTAAGATTCTTAGGGGACTTCACAGGGTAGATGTGGAAAGTTTGTTTCCCCTTTTGGGAGAGTCAAGAACCAAAGGGCATAAGTGTAGGGTTGCCCATTTAAGATAAAGAAATGGAGGAATTTTTACTCTTAGAAGGTGGTGAATCTGTGGAATTCCTTACTTCAGAGGATGTTGAGGCTGGGTCATTATGCATATTCAAGGCTGAAAGAGACAGATTTTTAATCATTAAGGGAACTGAGTTGTGGGAAAATGCAGCAAAATAAATTTGAGGATTATCAGGTCAACAATGATCTTGTGGAATGGTAGCGTGGACTCAGTGGGCTGAATGGCGTACTTCTGCTCCTACATATTGTAGTCTTATGGTCTTAGTTATTAATTAAAGGCTAAATTCAATGTAATTTGATTCTTAGCTGCTTCGTGAAAAACCTAGTGAGCTGCACAATTCAAGGGCAATTAGGGATAAGCAACAAATTCCTGCCAAGAATTTTTTTCAAAAGTTCAACTGACTTTCACTCGCAGAGATGCCACTCTCTTTCACAGAATCAGTTGTTTGAGTGGAAGAGTATCGTGATAATGCTTTGAACCCAACCTTATGAAAAGTTTCATAACCGTGAAAAGTAAGCAATTACCCTTTTTCCCTCTGCCCCAGGCTCTCTTGTCCCCAAGCTCTCTGTTTCTGTACCTTGATATGTTGCTGGTTAGAGAGTAACCAATCTATCTCCATCACAGATTATATCATTAGTATTCATTTTGTTCACTCACCAAGGGAGCATTGATCGATATCAGAATGGGGTATCACTTAAAGATCCTATATTAGTACAGAATGCATGAGAGTTAATATGTTCATCTTGGACAGAAATAGAATACAATTTCCTATTTTTGTTTTATAATTAAAGTAAATAAAACTCTGCTTAAAAAAAGAATTTCAAGCATCTGCACATCATATAGCACATAAGGAAGTGATTATGAATAAATATGATAATTCATTCTCCAATTTACAGTCTTGTACAGTAATACGGATCTGTCTCAAATCTACCTGACCAAGGCAAGTCCCAGAACACTCTACTATTCAATGGCCTATTATTCACAGACTATCTACCATTGCTTTGCCTTCCTGAATGATGCTGTCAGGTGAGACAGACTTTGTACATTCATTAAAAGTACCTTGTTCCATTAAAATTTAGGTCATTATTTTAAGACACATTAAAACATAAATGGATTTGCATTAGCACCTGCAATGCTCTGTCACAGCTGAGCTGGCAGGGAGATAACTGCCTGCTCAGGTAATGTGTTTGCCTAAAGGGAGAGAGAACAATTCATGTCCTCCTCACACATCCCTTTGTAACTGGCTCAGTTCAGAAAATGGCGTAAATTTATCAAGGGGGTGGGGGATATACTCACTTTCTCAGAGAAGAGGGATTAGAAAATACTTGGTAACCTGGAGAGAAGAAAAAAGGTTTATAATGGATCCACCAATTGCATAAACAATGAAGTCATTTCTGCCTTAGGACCAGAACATATTGCAGCCTGACTGTGTTAGAATAGAAACAGAAAGTGCTGGAAATACTCAGCATATGTACAGACTCTACTCAATGGTAAGGAATCTCTTAATGAATGAAAGAAGATGCAGTAGCACAAGACCTCCCCAATAGCCCAAGCAGGAAGAGACGTTTAAGTGATTTCCATCAAAAGGTATTAAATGGAGGTGGGGTTGGAGGGCCTTCCCACCTGGAACTGCCTTAGGTGGAGGTCTGGAGGCAATCATTGCAAAGATTTACCAGAACTTTCACCTCATTCCTGGATTCATGAAGGCCTAGAAGATGACCTGCTGAACATTTCCAGCATTTCCTTAGTTTTACATCAAAGTCCCAGCATCTGCAGTATTTGGCTTTTGTGTTTGTACAGTGTGCCACAAATCCATCAACCTCGTGTTGAATTTTGCCCAAGGGTGCAATATCCATTGCACTCAGCTGTGCTGGCCCAGAACCCGCTGGTAACGTGGGGGGAGCTTCGAATGGTAGTGCCTTAACAAGATGAGAACACACTTCTTTTCTCACCCAACCAATGTTCACAATCTGCGTGCGCGCTGTCTAAATTGGCGATGGTGGCACATTTAACAGCAGCTGACAAAAAATTGGTGGATCCAGAGTTAAACAGCAAAAAGAAAACGTGCTTGGCTGGGAGAGGTCCACTTGATAGGGGGGAGGAATGGCATAAATTGGATAACTCTTCCAAAGGATTAGCACAGGCATGACGGACCAAATGTGTTGTAAGATTCTATAGTTGTATGTCCCATAAAAGGCATGAGGTAAAAGTTGGACTTCACCAAATCTAATTTTTTTGACTATTTAAGATTTATCTCACATCATGTATTTCTGCATTATCATTTCTCTTTCAATGTTTCGCTTCAGGGAAGGGAAAAACCAGTATGAGAGAGCATTTGGTGTTTCTCCTAAGGACCTATTTGAAACTGTCTATAGGTAGGTTTCTAAAATGTGATCTTCAAACCCCTTAACCACCACAATTCAACTGGGCAAAAGAGAAAAGGCAGAACTGTCTGTTAACAGAATGTGAAATAACTCTGCTGTCTCTTCTTTGCATTGTGTACATGTCTCTGATATGCACTGAAACTAGAGTTTTCCATGATTTAAGTGCATGCCATTTTAGATCAGATCTTTCGAACTGATCTCACAAAACTTTAAGTTTCTGACTGTTCAAATCTGTTCAACACAAGAAAAGCATTAAAAAAGGGACAGGAGTAGACCATGTAGTCCTTCATTCAATATGATCATGGCTAATCTTCAGCTTCAGCTCCATATATCCCTGATTCTCCAAGAAATAAAAGAGCCATCTATCCCACCACTAAAATGATGGAACATTTACAATTTCCTGGGGATTTCGAACATTGTGGATTGATTTATTGTCATGCTTACTGAAGTACAGCTTTGTTTACGAGCAGTCAGGCAAATCAGAGTAAGCAACGTTGTATAGATCAAAAAGATTTAGACAGAGGCATATAGGTTACATTGCACAGGGTGTGCACTAGACGAGATTAACGTTAGCAAAATCAGCGTTATTTGAGTTAGAGAGTCCATTCATCAGTCTAATAACGGCCAGGAAAAAGCTGTTCTTGAGTCTGCTTGTGCATGTGCTCAGGCTTCTCTATCTCTTGCCTGATGGAAGAGGTTGTAGGAGGTCATTACCAAGGTGCGATGGGTCTTTGATGATGTTGACAGCCTTTCCACAGCAGCGAACCGTGTAAGTGGAGTCCATGGATGGACGGTTGGCTTCCGTGATGGTCTGAGCTGTGTACACCACCTTCTGTAGTTTCTTACAGTCCTGGGCAGAGCAGTTGCATTTCCAGGCCATTATGCACCTGAACAGTTTGCTTTCAAAGTTGGTGAGGGATCTGACGGACATGCCAAATTTCCTGAGACACCTGAGGAAGAAAGGTATTGTTGTGCCTTTTGAGTGAAGGAATATGTCCTCATTGCAGTCCAAAGTCAGAGACCTCTTATCCTGAGATTGTGACAGGTGTGTCAGATCTCCTCAGCCAGTGTCTTCCCTGGCAAATCCTTCTGAGTTTTATACATTAAAAGCAGGGAATTGAGTTGAATGATCAGCCATGATCATATTGTTACCTGTAGCACTTCTGACTCCCACATTTTTGCCCTCACTTTAACAATTCAAAAGCTGTGAAAGTTGTTGTTATTTCTCAGGTCGTCTATTAAGGAAGTTCTATCCTCATCTGTAATTGCCAATGCATTTTTCAAAACATAAGAACTAGGAACAAGATTGGACAATTCAGCCTCTTGAGCCAGCTCTACCATTTATTAGGATCATGACTGATCTCATCGCAGCCTCAGCTCCACTTTCCTACCCATTACTAATTAAAAATATGTCTATCTCCTCATTAAATTTGCTCAATGCCTCAGTATACACCATATTCTAGGATAATGGATTCCATAGTTTCTCCTCATCTGTTTTAGATCTGCCACTCCTTAGTCTGAAACTATAATGTCTCATTCCAGATTGCTCCATAAGAGGAAGCATCCTCTCTACGTTTACTTTGTCAATCCTGTTTAGCATCTTATACACCTCAATTCGATTGCCTCTCATTTTTCTAAACTCCAAAGAGTATAGGCCTAAACTGCTCAATCTTTCTTCATAAGATAATCTCCTCATCAATCTTGTTAACCTTCTCTGACCTGCCTTCATTGCAACTATATCCCTCCCATGTAAGGGGATTAAATTTGTACACAATACCCCAGCTGCGATCTAACTAATGCTTTGGACAGTTACAGCAATATTTCCCCACTTTAATGTTCTCTCCTTTAGCAATAAATGGCCACATTCCATTTGCTTTCTATAGTGATTGTAACAAGGTCAGCCAGGTGGCCCTCATAGAATATGAGTTCCCTGATTGGGGCTGTTAATCTCGTCCAATCGGGAAGTCCTGGCTGACAGATAGAAATAAGTATGTCAGAGGTTCTGCTCACTCTGACAGCTGGCTTTGAGAGAGCTGGATCAGTGTCAAGGACTCACCACATGTAAATAAAGGATGACTTGGTGATGGGATACTGGCCTCCATGGACTTATTTCACCTTCCTTATTGCCAGCTATTACCTGCATACTAGTTTTCTGCAATCCATGACAACATTCAGATCCCTCTACACCAGAATATTTTGAAATTTTTCTCTATGTTGATCAAATCATTGAATCCCTACAGTGTGGAAACAGGTCCTTCTGCCCAACAAATCCACACTGACTCTCAGAGCATCCCACCCAGACCCATCCCCCATAACCCACACATCCCTGGACATTATGGGCAATTTTGCATGGCCAATCCACCTAGCCTGCACATCTTTGGACTGTGGGAGGAAACCGGAGCACCCGGAGGAAACCCACGTAGACACAGGGAGAATGTGCAAACTCCACACAGACAGTTGCCCGAAGGTGGAATCGAACCCGTGTTCCTGGCGTTGCATGGCAGCAGTGCTAACCACTGAGCCACCGTGCCGCCCCAAAGCTGGCTTTCTGTTCTCTGTTAAAATAACAAAGGGATGGAATACTGCAGTGTTGAGGCATACATTTTCATATTGATTGTACAGTTTTGTGTTAATACACTAACGTTTTGATACCATAGATCCGAGGAGGAAATGCTGAAATTCATGCAGCTGATGAATTCAATATGGAATATTTGTGGAAAAGATGTGGTCGTGGCCTTTGATCTTTCAATTTTTACCCACATCGTAGATCTTGGCGGTTAGTTTCTTTTTCAAAATGCTCTCTTTCAGGAACTTAAAAATGTTTGATATTTTTATGTTTAGTTAGTTCCTTTCTCTTTGATACCATCCCCAAGCCCCACTCATCATGGGGATTTGATTATCGGTTATCCCCAACCTTTGACCAGCTATTGAGATTATTTTGGTTCCCTTCCTTCATCTTCTTGCTGAATATGCTCATGTTAACATGCTTTAAAATATTAGATGAATGTTACACATTTCACGGAGAAGTTTACTGAGAGCTCACTGGATTACCTAGGCTCCCACTCTAGTTAAACCTCAATCTTAAGTCCCTCCATGTCCTCATCGCTCCCTACCTCAGTGATGGTCTCCAAGATCACCTCACTCCACTCAATTCTGGACCCTTGTCCACCCCAAATTTCAATTGACCCACAACCCCACAGTCACATAGGGAAGAACTCAATAGGTCATGTCAACAGCAGCACTAGGCATAACTAAAACTGAGGTGACACTACAGCACAGGACTGTCTGCATGCCAAACAATGAAAACAACATACGATTCATAGAACAAGTAATTCCCACAATCAGTGCATTGGATCTAAACTCTGCAGCCCTGTTGTATCCAGTCGTGAATGGTGAGCAATTAGATGATTCACTGGAGGAGGAGGAGGAAGCTTCAATGATGGTGGAGCCCAGCACATCAGTGCAAAAGATAAGGCTGCAGTAAAATACAATGAAGAGCTGTGAATGCAGAAAAATCAGAAATTGCTCGAGAAACTCAACAGGTCTGGCAGCATCTGTGGAGAGAAAACAGAGTTAGAACTTTGAGTTTGGAGCGAACCTTCTTTAGGATGAATAAGGCTGAAACATTTGCATCCATTTTCAACCAGACGTGCCAAGCAGATGATCCATGCCTGCCTCCTACTGAAATCCCTAGTATCACAGAAGCCAGTTTTCAGCCAATTTGATTCACTCCATGTGATATAGAAAAATGGCTAAAGGCACTGGATACTGTGAAGGCTATGGGCCCCAGTAACATTGTGATAAGAACACTGAAGCCTTGTGTGCCAGAACTAGCCATGCCCCCAGCTAAGATCTAAAGTGACAATATCTACATAGATGGTTCATTTCAGTTCCTGGTCAATGGTGTCACCAAGGATGTTGATTGTAGGGGATTCAGTGATGGTAATGCCATTGAATGACAAGGAGTGATGATTGGAAAATCTCTTTTTGGTGGTGGTCATCGCCTGGCATTTGTTGTTGCACAAATGTTACTTACCACTTATCAGCGCAAGCCTGGATGTTGTCCAGGTCTTGCTGTATTTGAACACATGGGATGCCTTAGTGGCTGAGGAGTCACAAATGGCGTTGAACATTGTGTAATCATCAGCTAACATTCCCACATCTGACTTTAAGAGGGAGAGAAGGTAGGATGGAGGGAAGCGGCTGAAGATGCATGTGCTTTGGACACTACCCTGAGAAACTCCTGCCACGATGTCCTGTGGCTGAGATGACTGACCTCCAGCAAACACAACCATCTTCTTTTGTGCTATGTATGACTCCAGCCAGCAGGGAGCTTTCCCCTAATTCTGTTTAATACTGTAGTGATAAACCCATCCTTCATGATCTTGATATAACTTTATTCATATAATTGCTACATCTGGGAGTGGGGTGGGGGTGGTGGAGTTAATGTAATGATGAAAAGAAGTCTATAAAACAATACCAATGTTTAATTTAAAAGGGCAACTTTTGGATTTTATTTTTCTTTCTGTCTGTTTTGAAGGATGTACTGGTGCAATAGCTAAGGAATGTATCTCTGCATATCCACAGTCAAGGGTGACCATCTATGACCTTCCTAAAGTCCTGGAAATGGCAAGAAATCACTTTGTGTCTCCACATGAAAAACGGATTACATTTCATGAAGGTATACGCAACCAGAGGAATTGCTCAATAGTAATTTTTAGATTACCTCTCTCCATACATTCCAGCATCATAGTGCTTCATGGTGCAGTGACAATGGAGCTCTTGTCTAACTATTGCCAACAGCTTCTAACCACTAGACCAAAGCAGACCCAAATATGAGGTGGGTCAACATACCAATAGCAAGAACTTCGGGAACCCTGGGCTAAATTTCAGGGGATTGGGAGGAATGAAGTACTCACAATCCCTCCAAAGCCACACAGACAGATCCCAGACCAATTTTATCCTGAAAGCATCTTTAAAGGAGGTAAGTTTTGGACTTCTGCACATCAGGAGCAGGAAATCCTGCCCTCACAAGTTGTTAGCTAATCTGCTTGACCATCAACTGAATCGTCTCAGCAGTGCGCAACTCCATAGTGGCAGCTGCTGGGAACTACAAGCAGTGTCATGAAGGACAAGGGTACCTGAGAGGTCAGTCAGACATTTTGATGGGGAAGGGATTAAGGACCCTTGTGGGAGGATGAGGGATGAAATTTACATTACTTTACAGCATTTCCATCCAGAATATTCTGAAGAATCTCTTATCTAGCAGTACACTTTAAAGCTTTCTGCTTTAGAACATAGACACCAAATCTCCAAGCCCTCTAAAGATCTTGCGCACTTTCACATTGTATTTCTTTCCTTCAAATATGATGAAATAATCAACTATCTAAACCCATTAGAAAAGACCCCATCTGGACACGTCTTTTCAATTTTCAGGGTCTCTGGACGCATTCTCAATCACCTTGAACTGAGATTGCAGATGGTGGTTAATAGGTAATCACATCAGCATGTATTTGGTGTCACAAAATTAAGGATTGGTAAGTACGGCAGATTTCCTTCCCTGAAGGGCTTGAGTGAACCAGATGAGTTTTTATAACAATCAATGGTAGTTGTCATGGTTACCATGACTGAGACTAGCATTGTACTCCAGACTTGTTCATTTATTTCCACCAGCTGCTGGTGCTGTGGTGAGAATTGAAGCCATATCTCCTGGTTCTGGTTTATTATTAACCTAGTGACATTACCTCAAAGGCACTGTCTCTCCTTTGGTGCAGTTGCAAACATTGACCCATTCCCTGCACCCCATCCCTTGTAATGAAATCTACATTTTAACATGTACCCTGCAACATTAACATAAACTAATGTCACTACTGGGTCTTTGCATTAATCATTCAGTGGCCTACAAGTTCATCAACTTGTATCCACCTGTGTTTCTCTATATTTTCTGAGCTTCTAGTATGTTATTTCTAATTCAGTGAAATACTAAACATTTGTAGGAATGGTAACATTTGTCCAAAATGTGGCATCGATTTTGGACCTAACCCTCCTGGCAGAAACTAGGGCAGTTAGTATTGACCAGCTAATTTACCTACCTATTGTCTCATCTTGTTCACTACCTCTTCCATTGTAGTCCAATCTTTTCAGTAAATGACAGTTTCACTGCCTGGGGCAGCAGGGCCTCCTGAATTTAGAAAATTTAGACTTTCCCTGCCCTGGATTTACTCCACAATTTTGAACCGCGAGGATGACCCCCATTCTGTCCCCAGCATTCTGGTCTCCACATATATCTGAATTCCTCGGCATGGCATTTCTCAGTTCAATGTCTGCTTGGATGTTCCAAGTGCTTAAAGGTTATTTTCTCCTTCACTTCATTCAGGTTTGCAAACCAAACTCAATCTCTGAGTATGGGTACCAGTGGCAAGATAAGAATTTATTGACCTTTTCCAACTTCCCTAAAAACAAATTCAGAGAGAAAAGATACAACTTTAAAAAAAAAATCAGAAATGAATGTACTGATCATATTTTTTCCCTGGAGTGTAGGAGATTGAGGGTTGACCTTATAGAGGTTTATAAAATCATGAGGGGTATAGATAGGGTTAATGGTAGGTGCCTTTTACCAAGGGTGGGGGATTTCAAGTCTAGGGGGCATATTTTTAAGGTGAGAGGAGAGGGATTTAAAAGACATGAGGGGCAAATTTTTCACACAGAGTTTGGTTCACATGTGGAATGATCTTCCTCAGGAAGTGGTGAATGTAGGTACGATTACAATATTCAATAGACATAAGTTAATGAGGTAATAGATAAGTTAATGAATAGGAAAAGTTTGGAGGGATACGGGCCAGGAGAAGACAGGTGGGGCTAGTTTAGTTCTGGGATTATGGTTGGCATGGACTGGTTGGAATGAAGGGTCTGTTTCCATGTTGTATGACTCTATGGCTCTTCATTTTGAAGTACAAAAAGACAAGTTGAACCAATGTGTTCCATTCACCGGTTCCACTGACTTTCCCTTCTGAGAAGATAGGTTCCCTTTTTAAGCAAAAATCTGTGTCAGGAACCATCCTCTTGAATTGCCAGTGGAAATGATGAAGGGAAAATATTTTTTCTGATGAATTTGCATACCTCAAATTCTGTTGATAATCATTCTTGTGAAAAGTCTTGTATTTTGCTGTGGTAAACTTATAAAATATAGAAACATATAAAATAGGAGCAGAAGTAGACCATTCAGCTCTTAAGCCTGCTCTGCCATTCAATACGATCATGATTGATCACCCAACTGTGTAGCCTGTTCTTCCTTTCAACCTATTTCTTTGACCTGTTTAGCCCTAGGAATTCCATGTATCTCCCTCTTGAAAACTTGCTGCTAAAATAAATCATTGTTTTTCAAATTAAATGTATGTCTGAAAGGAAGAAGTGGAAAGTGCTTGCATTTTTATACATCCTCAAGACATTGCATAGTGGATGCAGCAGGAGCTACAACTGATCTTTGTTCCCTTCTAAAGATAGAGCAAAATTAGCCACCTTTCCTACTTAAAGGAATAAATCCTCATTGGAAAGTGGGTGCAGAGTTGAAGCTGGCTGTGGTGGCCGTTACAATCCTTTGAGAAGCAAACAATATTTTAAAATAATATTTGAAATCCAAATGACTGACAAAAAGAAGCACATGACAAGATTCCAAGTTTTAAGACTTTTACTGTAACAAACTATGTAAAAGCAACATTGATTAAGCACTGGGGAAAAAAATTACACTAAACTACAAAAATATCCCTCCTTCAAAATTTTAATGTGACCAAAAACGTCACAGCATGTTATATTTTATTTCCCATTCTCTGCCGAATAAGTTTTCACGAGAACCGTTCCAACATTAGTCCCATTTGCTAACACTGAATCCCCACAGTGTGGAAGCAGGCCATTTGGCCTATTAAATCCACACTGACCCTCCAAAGAGCATCCCACCCAGACCTACCCATCTACCCTATAACCCTGCATATCCCATGACTAATTCACCTAATCTACATATCCCTAGACACTGGGGGCAATTTAGCATGGCCAATCCACCTAATCTGCACACCTTTGGACTGTGGGAGGAAATCAGAGCACCCAGAGGCAACTCATACAGACATGGGGAGAATGTACAAACCCCACATAGACAGTCGTCTGAGGGTGGAATTGAACCCAACTGCACTCTGAAGCAGCAGTGCCACTGTGTCTGTATTGCCAATCAATTGATTACATAAACATGCAGCAGTAAGGCCAAAGCAGCCTTCTTGTTTTATTGATAATCAATGTGTGTTAAAATCCAATGTTGTAATTGTATCAGCCTCCACCAATTCCTCTGGCAGCTCATTCCAAACACACACCACCTTTGTGTGAAAAATTGCCCCTTTTAAATCTTTCTGCTCTCACCTTGAGTCTATGCCCTCTTGTTTTGGACTCCACTACCCTGGGAAAAAGACCTTGACTATTCACTCTATCCACGCCCATCATGATTTTATAAACCTCTATAAGGTCACTCTCTAGCCTCTGATGCTTCAGGGAGAAAAGCCCCAGATTATTCAGCCCCTCCCTATAGCTCAAACCCTCCAACCTTTGCAACATCCTTGTAAATCTTTTCTGAACCCTTTCAGTCAGTGAGCCAACCAACCTCAACACCCTTCCCAAAGCAGGGAGACCAGAATTAGTGGCCTAACCAATGTCCTGTACAGCCGCAACATGACCTCCCAACTCTTCTACTCAATGCACTGACCAATAAAGACAAACGTATGAAATGCCTTCTTCACCATCCTGTCTACCTGCAGCTCCACTTTCAAGGAGCTATGAACCTGCATTCCAAGGTATCTTTGTTCAGCAACACTTCCCAGGGCCTTATCATTAAGTGTATATTTCCTGCCCTGATTTGCCTTTCCAAAATGCAGCACCTCACATTTACCTAAATTAAATTCCATCTGCCACTCCTTGGCCCATTGGCCTATCTGATCAAGATCCCATTGTACTCTGAAGTAACCTTCTTCACTGACCAATTTGGGTATCATCTGCAAACTTACTAACTATACCTCCTGTGTTCACATCCAAATCATTTATATAAATAACAAAAAGCAGTGGACCTAGCACTGATCCTTGTGGCATACCGCCGGTCACAGGCCTCCAGTCTGAAAAGCAACCGTCTACTACCACCCTCTGTTCCTACCTTTGAGCCAGTTCTGTATCCAAATGGCTGGTTCTCTCTGTATTCTGTGTGTGCTTAAACATGCATTCTGAGAATGTCTTTGAGGACAGGATTTGACTGAAATGATGGCAGAAACTCACCTCTGAAGAACTCATGTCATAGAATCATAGAAGTGTTCTAATACAGACGGAGATGTTCGGCCCATCATGACTGAAAAGGCTGTTCAAATGTGCATCATTAGCCAGTGCCAATCTCATATCCCTGCACACTATTTCTGTCCAAATGATCTTCCAATGTCCTCTTGATTATCCCAGTTGAGCCTGCCTCCACCACATTTCCAGGCAGTGCATTCCATACTCTAACTATTCACTGAATGGAAAAGTTTTTTTCTCACAATGTATTTGCTCCTTTTGTAAATCACTGTAAATCTATGCTGTCTCATGTTGTTTATTTTATGAACATAGAATCCCTACAGTGTGGAAACAGGCCCTTTGGCCCAACAAGTCCACACCAGCCCTCAGAGCATCCCACCCAAACCCATCCCATCTACAAATCCCTGAACACTTGGGCAGTTTAGCATGACCAATCCACCTAACCTGCACATCTTTGGACTGTGGGAGGAAACCAGAGCACCCGGAGGAAACCCACGCAGATACGAGGAGAATGTGCAAACTCCACACAGACAGTTGCCCAAGGGTGGAATTGAACCCAGGTCCCTAGTGCTGTGAGGCAGCAGTGCTAAACACTGAGCCACCGGGCCACCATCTGGAACAATTTCTCCCTATCCACCCTAGTCAGCCCATTCATGATGTTGAAAATCTTTCTCAGTTCCCCTCAGCCTTCTTCTTTCCAAAGAGTTGGGACTTTTTCAATCCGTCTGAATAATTGAAGTTCCTCATCACTGGAACTGCTGCTGTAAATTGCTTCTGGACACTCTCCAATGTATTCACATCCTTCCTATCAGAACTGTGTACGGATCTGTGCAGAAGAATTCACTTGAGGTCTAATAAGAGTCTTATACAATTTCAACATCACCTCACAAACAAGAACAAAACTTGCTGAAATAGCTCAGCAGTTCTGGCAGCATCTTGAGTTCTGAGAAAGGGTCACTTGAACCAAAATGTTAACTCTAATTTCTCTCTGCAGATGCTGCCCTTTCTGATCTTGTTTTTGATTTACAGCATCTGCAGTTCTCTCAGTTTTTATTCAACATCATCTCCTTGCTCTTGTACTCTGGGCTGCTATTAATAAAGTCGAGGATACTGTATTCTTGATTAACTGCTCTATCTATCTGTCCTTCAATCTCAATGATCTGTGCACATATACACCCAGCTTCCTCTGTTCCTGCACTTTTAGAATTTTACTTCCCCTTTATATTATCTTTCAATGTGCTTCCTGAACAATGCATTACCTCACACTTGATGGCATTGAACCTAATCTGTTACCTATCTGCCCACTCCAGCAATTTGTCTATATCCTTTGGAATTCTACAAAATCCTGCTCACAGTTTACAATTCTTGCAAGTTTCATGTAATCTGCAAACTTTGAAATTGTCCCCTACACACCGAGATGCACATCAGGAAAAGCAAGAGTCTAATACCATCCCCTGGGGAACTCATACTACAAAACTTCCTCCAGCCTGAATAAAGGAGATAAGAATAATTGGATTATTGCACGTAGAAGAGGACCAGCTGGTCCACCATGCCTACCTCACATTCTTACTAGGACATCATGAAAAGATATTTCTGGTCACCCAGCCCTTCACCTTGCCCCTCCTCCCACAGTCATTGCATCTTCTGGGTGAGTCAGAAATACTGTTTCAATAAAGGACCAGAATATCGTGGAAAATTTCTCTTCAATGTGCTCACGAGATCATGTGAACCATGTATTACCTTACAAGTTTAACTTGAGAAGTCCTTGGGATACAGCAGCATATTGGCTGTGTTACTTGACTACTTAATCAAAAATACAAATTCAAAACTCCATCTTAACACCTCAGGAGTTTCAGTTCAGTTACTGAGAAAACAAAGTCTGTCACAATGGGCTAATGACCACAATAGTAACTATAAAACTACTGTGTTCTTGTAAAAATCCTTTTGTTCACTAATATCCTCAAAGGATGGAAATTTGTTATCTGTACTATCTCTACTGAGTCCAGAGCCATTGCATTATAGTTGATATTAAACTCCCTCTGAAACGCTCTAGCAGACCACTCAGAGGTGGTTGACAGCTTCAGGTTCCTAGCAGTAACTATCACCAACAATCCGTCCTGGTCTGTCCACATTGACGCTAAAGTTAAGAGAGCACACCAATGCCTCTACTTCGTTAGGAGGCTAAGGAAATTTGGCATGTCCACAATGATCTTTACCAATTTTTAAAAATGCACCATAAAAAGCATCCAATCTGATGTATCACAGCTTGGTATGGCAACTGCTCTTCCAAAGACCTCAAGAAATTACAGAGAGTTGTGAACACAGCCCAGTCCATCACACAAACTAGCCTTCCTTCCATTGACTCCATGTATACTTCCTGCTGCCTCAGGAAAGCAGCCGACATAATCAAAGACCCCTCCCACCCGGGTTATAATTTCTTCCACTATCTTCAATTGGTCAGAAGATACAAAAATTTGAAAACACATACCAACAGATTTAAGAACAGCTTCTTCTTTGCTGTTACCAGATTTATGAACGGACCTCTCATATATTAGAGTGGTTCTTTCTTTGCCTCATCTCTGTAGCTGTAACACTGTGTTCTGCATTCTGTTCTATTACCCTCATATATTTAAATAAGGTATGATTTGTCTGGCTAGCATGCAAAACAATACGTTTCACTGTATCTTGGTATATGTGACAATAATAGTTCAAATCAAATCAAATCAGTTGTAATCAAGATAGTGACTTGCTATCATTTTATCAAGGACAATTAGAGCTGGATAAGTATCAGTGACTTCAAGAAAGAAGGAGAGATCGTTGTGACAGCTGTATTTATTTTTTTAATGGCATCAATGACAGCATACTGCAGTCCTAACCTTACACCCTTTTCAAAAACAGGAGACTTCTTCAAAGACCCTATACCTGATGCTGACCTCTACATTCTTGCCAGAATCATTCATGACTGGACTGAGGACAAATGCCTGAAGCTACTCAACAGGGTTAACAAAACTGGTAAACCAGGTAGGTCTAGCCAGAACAAGGCAGAATATTAAAGGACACTAGAGTATCTTCAGCAGAAATCTTGACATTGAACATCCTTGATTTTTCAACTGAGGCCTGAAAAACAGTGCCCATTTGATATCTTTAGAGAGCAGAGAGTTTGTTTGTTTGAAATACTGAAAACTGGCACGCAATCAAGATCCTGGAAAAAATCATTGACCAGAAACTGAACTGGAGTAACCATATAAAAACAATGGTTACAAAAGGAATAACTCATTGGGTAACTCAATTCCTGACTCCCCAAAGCCTATCCACCATCTACAATTCACAGGCAAATAGTGTGATAGAATAGTCTCCACTTGCTTGGATGGGTGCAGCTCCATCAGCACTCAAGAAATTCCACACTATCTATTTGATTGACACTCCATCTAACACATTCAATACTCACTCCCTCCACCATCAATGTACAGTAGCAGCAGAGTGTACCATCTACAAGATGCACTGCAGTAACTCACCAATGTTCCTTAGATAGTGCCTTCCAAATATGTGAATTCTACCATCGAGAAGGACAAGGGCAGCAGATAGACACATGGGAGTACCACCACCTGCTAGTTCCCCTCCAAGCCACTCACCATCCTGACTTGGAAATATATTCAGTGTCACTGGGTTAAAATCCTGGAATTCCCACCTTAACAGAATTGTGGGTCTACCAACAGTACATGGACTGCAGCAGTTCAAGGAGGCAGCTCACCACCACCTTCTCAAGAGCAACTAGAAACAGCCAATAAATGCTGATCCAGCCAGCGATGCCTACATCTTGTGAATGAATTTTTAAAAGAAAGATGTATTAGGTCCCATTCCTGTAGTGAATGTTGCTTTTTCTCAAGCTGAAAATCCAGGCTGGGGTAAAATGGAAGGTGCAAGAGGGGTCTCTGCCAAGTGCATTGGAGAAAATGATTTTTTTTTTTTTTAAATGCATTAATTGTTGCAATTTGCATCTCTCTGAAATAGGCAGTGGAGTACTGCTGATTGAAGCATTATTGAATGAGGACCGGACTGGCCCTGTCACTGCCCAATTGTACTCTCTGAACATGTTGGTACAGACAGAAGGGAAAGAACGAATGGCCTCCGAGTACATCAGCCTTCTGGAATCGGCAGGATTCAAGGATGTGCAAGTCCAAAAGACAGGGAAAATTTACGATGTTATCCTAGGGAGGAAGTAAACTAGCAAGTCTAAGATTCAGTCTCGCTGGGTATGATTGTTGAAGCAAAATATGTAACTGTTCAATAGGAGAAAGTAGACTGCACGGAGACAATTCCTCCAAAATTCCCTCCCGCAAGCTGTTAAAACATACCTTTCTACTTTTTCAATGTATACCAGCTAATGTAAGTGATCATAATTTCACAGTTGACAGATAGTAAGAACTGCCGATGCTGGAGTCAGAGATAATACAGTGTGGAGCTGGAGGAACACAGCAGGCCGGGCAGAATCAGAGGAGCAGGAAAGCTGACTTTTCAGATGGGACCCTTCTTCAGAAAATTCAGCTTTCCTGCTCCTGTGATGCTGCCTGGCCTGCTGTGTTCCTCCAGCTCCACACAGTGTTATCTATAATTTCACAGTTGACATCTTCCTAAAGATATTTGTTGACTTTTTCCACTCCATGGGTTTGTTTCTATTGAAAGCCCATTAGTTCTCACTCAGGTTGCTGTGGTTATGTTACTGATAGGGAATGGTTCCACATTGCCCATGGCTGTAGACATTGAACATCCATCAGATTCGCCATTGCAGCCCAAGAACAAGTCTGAGACACTTTGGAGAACAATGTCAGCTTCAAACTCTTTCCCTGTTTCATCACCATGCATGAAGTTGCTGCCTGAATGCTGCAATAATTGTCGGAATTTAATGCCCTCCCTCAGTAGTCCTAGGCCTTTCCTAGGTTCAGCAGCTGCCACTGATCCCACTTGCATTGTCTGCACTGGACAGTGCCAACCTCTGATTGACCAAAGGCTCTAGGTGGAGGAAAAAGGGATGGGATTCTCACTGGGTGCCTTTGATCCCAGGGAAGGTCCCCTCTTGGCCATTTAAGTGCCGAAGAGGCAACCAGTAGGCCTTCCCTAAAGGAGACAATGTAGGACTCCTGCCAACTCTACCTGGTAGGCAAGACACCCATTGCCTTGATTCAATACTACCTGATGGTGTGATTTCCCAAGATTTTAAAACACATTTGGATAAGTACCTGAATAAGAAACGTTTGGAGGGATGTGGGGATATGGCAGGAAAGTGGGGCTAGTTTGGTTTGGGAATGTGGTCAGCACTGACTAGTTGGACCGAAGGGTATGTTCCCATGCTGTATGACTGTATGAATCTATCTGGTAGCTTGGATCGAGTTTTACGAATTAATTAGAGGTTTAAGGTGTTAATAATACCATTTAATGATACCGCAATCAGTTTATGTAATTAATTGCTTCTGGAGGGCAGTGGCTGTTCGATGTCAGCCATGGTTCAATGGTTCCCATTTCAACTTCCTCTTTTAATCAAGGGTTCAAGTCTCACTCCAGAGACCTGAGCATAAAATGTAGCTGCAACCCAGCAGAAATGTATATCTGGAAAAGAAAAATTATCCCACCATCATATCAACACAGAAGTTACAAAATACAACACTGGTAAACATATCATTCATGCATTGCTATAATATTTGTTTCAGCGGTTGACCCATTTATAATGAATTGTCCAAAATAATGGATGCAGGAGTAAGCATTTGTAGGAATTTCCCTTTTTCTGCAAATACTTCTAATAGTAAAACTGGAGCAATGTTTTCTTTATAAAGGAAATAGAAATACTTTGAATGTGTTTCCTTTGCTTCCTTCTGCCATACACTACAATCGGATTCCTGTACCAATAATATGAATAAGTTTGAGAGGAAGATATAATGATTTCAGTATCAAGTGGCTATCATTAGTTGCATATAAGTCGATACAATTTAATTGCAGCACTGAGTAAGTGCTGTCTGTCAATGTCGCTGTTGTCCCAATTCAACACGAAACTGACTTCCGCTTATTCAGGTGAGCATAAAAGATATCGCAGTGCTATTTGGAAACAGCGTAAAAACAAAGCAAGTAAGAGTTAGAGTAAGTCCTTTGGACCATTATTCCAGCATTCAATACAATTGTATCTTGTATTCTGCCTCAATGCAATCTTCTTGTCTGTTTTCCATTGCTCATGATTCATTAAGAGATGAAACTCTTTCTTTCGATATCAACCTTAAATATATTCGGAGATGGAGCATCCATAGCCCTCTGGGGCTTAGAGAACTCCAAAGACCAATCTTTTCACAAGTGAAGAACCTTCTCCTCTGAAAAGACTGACCCCTTACCCTGAGACTGCACCCTCTGTGTTTAGATGTCCCACTCCCATAACCCATTGGCGTCTACTCTGTTGTGCCTCTTCAGAACCTTGTATGTAAATCTGATCTGGTTATCCTGGCCATCACTGATCTCTAGATCAATGCCACTGAAATCTGACGCCACTTGATTTACTTCACTCCTCCTTGCAGGAGCTTATTTTACACAACTTCACTCTCACATTTTAACATATTGCAACAGTTTCATAGAATGCCTATACTTTAGAAAGAGGCCAATCAGCCCACTGTGCTGCACCAACCTTCCTTAGGGCACCCTACCCAAACCCAGACCCAGACCCAATCTGCCACCTTATCCCCCTAACCCCACATTTCCCATGGCTAATCCACTTAGCTTGCACATGTTTGGACTGTGGGAGGAAACTGGAGCACCCAGAGGAAACCCACGCAGACACGGGGAGAACATGCAAACTTCACACAGACAGTCTCCCGAGGATGGAATTGAACCTGGATCCCTGGTGCTGTGAGGCAGTAGTGCTAAATGCTGAGCCACAGTGCTCTTCAAATATGTTTACTGCCTGTGAAATGATTTGAGAAATATTAAGACATTAATTACAGTCTTTCAGTGTCTCTCAGTTAGCCGAATAAAATATTTTGACAATACCTTAAATGTCCTCTTTTGAAAAGCAGGGGAGCCAAGTGATAAGCAGGAGTGTTCAGTTCTGAGCTTTGCTCCAATACTTTCCCATAGGTTTTCCAACAACATTTGTTTCATTTCTGCTATTTCCATGTGATCTGAGTGTCAATGGGAAGGCCAGCATTTGATGCCTGTCCTTAATTGGCCTTGAACTCAGTAGCCGAATAGTGGAGTCCCGAGGTTGTATGGTACATTGATTTAGAGCTTGGGTTTGGAGTTGGGTTTTAAGTCAAAAGTCTTCCTATACAACCCGAGGATCAAACTGATGCAAGCTCGTTTGTGAGGTCAGTAATAAATGCCCTGATGAGCCATTTGCTGTGGAATTTTGAGGCCTGAGTCTCATAGACTGTTGAGATGTACAAATCATTACCTTGATGCTGTTTCAAACCCGCATCACTTCTGGCAAACCTGTAGTCCATTGAACACTCAGTGTGGTATCTCCCACTTCAAGGCCAGAAGGTCTACAATCATGTCCCACCTACCGCTGAAGTTTGACCGAACAGGTTGACTAAAAATAATGACTCCCTTTTGAAGAAGGTGTTTTCTGGCTTCGACTTTCATTGCACCTCTCAGTTTGCCCACTAGAGGGCAAACACAGCCAGCAAACTGCATTTTGTCTGTTTCTTGTGTGAATGAACCAGGAGCAGGATACACCGTGATCAGCTTTTTGGGATTGTCTTGACTTCATGAACAACAATCAGCATTTTCATGGCATTTTTAACATGGTAAAATGTCCCAAACAATGACCATAAAAATGAATTTGACACTGAGCCAGTTGTGGAGATATTAGGAGAGATGAGCAAACGTTTGGCAGAAGAGGCAGGTTTTAAAAAATACCTTGAAGAGGTAACAATGAGCAGACAATGATATCGAGGGAGGGAATTCCAAAACTTAGGGGGTTGCCAGCTTAAAGCATGGCTGACAATGCTGGAATAAATAAAATTGGGAATGGGCAGGAGTCTAGAATTGAAGTGCAACACATAACTCACAGCGTTTTAGTGCTGGAAGAGGTTGTGGAGAGAGAGAAGGGTTTAGTTGTGGAGGGATAAGCTCATACAAGGTTAAGAGGTGAATGGGATCTGGTGTGAGTTATGAGCAGCAAGCTTTGGATGACCTTAGGTTTGTGGAGGGTGGACGAAAGCCAGGAGAATATTGGCAAAAGACAGAGATGATGTATCGGCAGAGAAGGTGAGCAGAGGCAAGAATGAAAAATTAATCTCTGAGATTATGCTGTGGCCAAGTCAACCAGGGAGGAAATTCATAGGGGCATTAAAAAATATTTGTTTGTTAATTTCTCTAAAAATATTAGAGAAAGAGAATGAATACTGCTTTGCAAGACCATCAAAAATTACTCAACCAGATAATGGAAATCACATTAATTTTCCAATTGGTTTAGCAAAACAGTATGCCTTAAACAATCAACATTTCTATTCACCTACAGTGATCCTTGCAGAACACCACTGGTCACCGAGCACCAGGCTGAAAACTTTCCATCTACTACCACCCTCTGTCTTCTATTGGACAGCCAATTCTGTATCCAGACAGCCAAATTTCCCCGAATCCCATGCCTCGTTACTTTCTGAATGAGAAAACCATGTGGAACCTTATCGAATGCCTTGCTAAAATCCATATACACCACATCCACTGCTCTACCTTCATCAATGTGTTCTGTCACATCCTCAAAGAATTCAATAAGGCTTGTGAGGCATGACCTGTCCCTCATAAAGCGTGCTGACTATTTCTAATCAAACTGTGCTTTTCCAAATAATCATAAATACTATCTCTCAAAATCCTCTCCAATAATTTGCCCACCACAGAAGTAAGACTGACTGCTCTATAACTCCCAGGACTATCCCTATTCTCTTTCTTGAACAAGGGAATAACATTTGCTGCCCTCCAATCATCTGGTACTACTCCAGTAGACAGTGAGGACACAAAGATCATTGCCAAAGATGCAGCAATCTCTTCCCTCGCTTCCCGTATACCTTGGGTATATCCCATCCGGCCCAGGGGTCTTATCTATCCTCGTGTTTTTCAAAATTTCTAGCACATCCTCCTTCCTAACATGAACCTGTTTGAACATATCTGCCTGTTTCACGCTGTCCTCACAAACTACAAGGTCCCTCTCACTGGTGAATACCGAAGCAAAGTATTCATTAAGGACATC